ACCGTGCTCGGGACACCGCTTGGCTCCGAGCCGTTCATTTTACATCAGCTTCGAGCTAAGCGGGCTCAGCAAGACCGCCTGCTCGAGGCTATACCCGGCGTCGAAGACCTGCAGGCGGCGTGGCTGCTTCTGCGCTATTGCGCTGCGCCGCGCGCAAACTACTTGCTGCGGGCTTTGCCCCTGCATGGACGGCTGACTATGCAGCTGGGCACGATGCGGCGGTATAGCCGCATGTCTAGCCACCCTCCTCGGCTCTGCGGAACGCCCGCTGCCGGAAGGGCCCTTGAGAGCTGCCCAGCTCCCCACCAGGTTCGGAGGCCTCGGCCTGCGTTCAGCTGCAGCTGACCGGCATGCAGCACATTGGGCATCCTGGTGCGACACGCTCCCAGTGCTGCAAGCACGGGCACCGGCCGCTGCTGCTCGCATACTGCGGGCCTTGCAGAGCCCGGTTGCGCACCAAACGCCATCCATCACCGCTGCGCAGCAATCAGCAACCTACCTGCGAGGTCAAGGCTTTGCCGCTCCACAGTGGGATGCGGTTCCGGCGGCCCCTCCAGCTGCCCCCCGCAGCGACGAAGCAGGTGACCACTTGCGAGGCTGGCAACGCCCCGCCGCCCACGCCTGTGACGAGCGCGCGCTCGAGACGCACTTTGCAACCCTTTCCCCCGCGTCCCAAGCGCTGCTGCTGTCGCAGACAGGCCCACATGCCAGCCGCAGCATCTCTGTCCTGCCAACGCATGCGGATGTCGCCATTCCTAGTGACCTCTTCCGGGTGATGCTGTTGCGACGCCTCCGCTTGCCACTCCCCCTCGCGCCCCGCGCTTGCAGCTGCCGGGGGCACCTCGATGCCTTGGGAGACCACCGTGCCGCATGCGCGACATCCGGGGCCCTCGCTGCGCGCGCCATCCCCTTGGAGCGCGCTCTTGCGAGAGTATGCCGCGAAGCGGGAGCACGGGTGGCCATCAATGTGCGTCTCGCCGACATGAACCTTGATGTTCCCGTGCACGATGCACGCCGCATCGAAGTTGTCTGCAATGGGCTTCCGCTTTGGCATGGACACCAGCTCGCAGTTGATGCCACTATCGTCAGCCCAGTCGGGCGTGATGGGGAGCCCCGGGAGCGGTCCCATGCCCGAGCTGGTGTTGTCCTTGCGACTGCAGCCAGGCGCAAACGCCGACAAACCTACCCGGAGCTCAGCACGGCACGCCGGTGCCGCCTGGTCGTCTTCGGCATCGAGGTTGGGGGCCGGAGGGCACCTGAGGCCGCCACTTTCGTCCGCTTGCTTGCGCGTGCACGCGCTGCGAGTGTGCCTGTGTGCCTGCCATCCTTCGACCCGCTGCTCAAGCCGCATGGGTCCTGAGGCGGAGCGGAATCCTTGCTGTCGCTGCCCAGCGCGCGCTTGCCGCCTCCTTGCTACACCTCCCTCTCGCCAACGAGTGCACTGGTGGAAGGGCCGAACCCGCTTTGCACGAGCTGCTCGCTGACTTGCGCTGGCACGAATCGCTTGAGTGCAGTCGCATGCCCAGCCGTGCTGCGTGAGTCCTTCCGTAGGCCGTGTGGGCACAGGGACCGCGCGTTTGCAGACGGTTGCAAAAAGGTGCGTTGGAAAAAAAAAAACAGCGTCTTTACCATTCTCTTAAACCAGCCCTCCGAATGCTTTCATGAGCTACCGAGTTCTTGGATTGAACACGGCCCAGGGACGCTTGCAAGAAAAGTTGTTAGTTGTTGATTCAGCTTGAACCTCACCTACGGTGCGACATTAGGAAATTCCAAGAAGGAAGATAAGATTCTCTCTTATTGTTGTTGCAGCAGACTTGTGCATTGCAAGCATGCGGCTTGAACAGGGGCCTCCAGTTGGGTTATGCCTCAATGACCGCAAAGAAGCCTTTGAAACTCAGTGGAGATCCTCCATGCTTATCAACTTGGCTTCTGGTGTTTCGAGCCCGCGCACATGGTGCCTGGCTGATAAACTGCGGAGCACCACTTCTATGAGTGTGTGAAATCTGGAGCCAGGTCCAGAAGTTTTTCCTCACATGTGGGTGTAGTCCAAGGTCGCAAGTTGTCGCCCCTTGAATTCTGCATCGGTCAAAAGAATCTTGAAGAGCATGCTGCCCGGAACATGGAAGGCATCGGGATTTACGCGCCTATCCAAGCTGTGGGCAGATGTGCTGTGTTTTGGATGAACCTCGTCGCTTGCATGAGTTGGTTTCGGATGGTATTTTGAGGGCTTCCTCTGATACATGTCGCCTCATCTTGTTGGACTTGGCAGCCCTGCCAAGAGATCCACTCGATCCGTCATGGATGACACGAATGCCGGTGGCTTCGCATGGACACGCGATGAGAGCTGTCAATCTTTTGCAGCATGTCCCTGAGTTGGAACAATGTACAAGCCAAGCAAGTGTTCGATCGTTGCCTCAGGATTCTCGCAGCGGGAGCTTGATGCTCCAAGGGCAGAAGGTAAATGATTGCAATGAAACAGTCCAAAACGGCATCTCACTTGACACGAGATTTGATGGTGGGGCCCATCTCCAGCTTCTCATGTTGCACGGACCGGGGCGTATGAAATGCCTTCTTGCTGAGCTGATTTATCTTGGTATGCCCATGCAGGCCGTGGCATGCGGACACGGATGACTCCGGCGGCCTTGAGCTCGTAGTCCAGGTGCCGTATGCGGACAAACACCTCAATGCCTTACAGGCTAAATGGCTGCGTATTGCTTTGGGTTGCTATTCGGTGCCTCGCATTGTTATGATGGCTGAACTTGGGATTCAAGACCGCTTGTCGGCGACAGCATGGGCACGAGCTCTGATGAAGGCGGGGTCGTGCGGACCCCCGGTATGCCTAGGAGGAAGAGATCTTTAGAATCCTGTCCTTCGTCGTAGGCTTCGGCTGTGAAAGGCAAAAAGATTGAGCTCAAACTCGCGCTGGTGCCTCTAGGATGTGACGATGTATCCACAAGTCAGCTCATATCCAAATTGCACAGTCATGCTCGTACAGTGGTCCTTCCGCCCATTCGAGACAATAAACGACGCATGTGGTATGACAGTCCGAAGAACGCGCTGCACTGGAGATCCTTTTCGCCAGCTGCATGGACCATGGCATCGCTGTCCTGGTGGGGGATCACGATCAAGGATGCACAAGCATGGGCCCAGTTGAAATTGCAAGGGTACTTCTCCAGACAGGATGGCCATGCTGGCCCCAGTGTACCCTGTGTAGCTTCTGCAACGAAGATGTCCTGGAAACCACTCAGCATTTGTTTCTGCCATGTCCGCGAGATTGGTGCTTTAAGCAAAACCGTCACTGTTGATCCTTCGCATTAGATTCTTGATTATGCAAGTTACGACTTGTGCACATGAGGATCTGGCGTGCGGGCGACTTTGGCCATGGCGATGCAAGATCGGAAGCATTTGTTGCATGACGGACTCTGTCAGTGTACGCATACATTTGAACATTTTTTGTTTTCAGTTTTCGTTCAGGTTCGTAATTTTGTGCCGCTCCCGTTTTGTCCTCAGAATCAGCAAGCGGGCCCGTCTCAGTTTCCTTGACTTTGCCCGGTGCTTGGCCGCACTACTCGAGCACGAGGCCGCCCCCCTGCCACACCAAAGCCTCAGCACCGCCCAGCTGAGCGGTTCGGGGGTCTCGGCCTCAGCTCTGCCGCCTCCGACGGCTTCACCGTGCATTGGGCCTCGTGGTGCGATACTTTGCTCTTGCGCCCCCGCCGCCCGTGCCTTGAACGTCTTCCCACCCCGTGATGAAATGTCTGTACCTGGCGTGCAGTTCCGGGTCTTCTGCTGCGCAGGCTGCAATTCCCCCTCCCCCTCACGCCTCGCCGATGCCGCTGCCACGGTGAGCTTGACATACTTGGCGATCACCACTCGGCCTGCGCTACCTCAGGGGTCCTCGCAACGCGCGCGCTGCTCCTTGAGCGTGCCGCCGCGCGAAGCCGAGCTCGGGTCGCGCGCCATGTGCGACTCGCCTACATGAACCTCGATGTGCCTGTCTCGGATGAGCGGCGCACTGAGGTCGTCGCACACGGCGCGGCTAGCCCGACCCGCGCGCAGACGTCCAGCCGGGTATATCCGGGTATACCCCTTTGTGTCGTCCGCAGCGCGGTGCAAGCGACATCAAACGTACCCTGAGTTTGAACGGGCGCGGCGCTGCCGCTGGCTCGTTGTTGTCGGCTTCGAGGTCGGCGGCCGGTTCGGTGCCGAAGCCGTGCAACTCTTGCGCCTCCTCGTGCGACACCGGGCAGCCGCTGACTGTGGACGCGCGTGTTTGCGGATTACCAAATATTTGCAACTTTGCAGAGCCATGCGACTTCGGTGCTGCACCCGAAAAGGAGCGCCTGTTGAGGCCCTCCGCGATTGTCGCCTGGATCTCGCGCTGCGCTGATCTGGGCTGCTGCCTTATTGGCAGGCGGTTCTTCGTCTGGGGAGCAAAACACTGCAAGACCGGATGACCAAGCACCGCAGCATCAAAGTTTTGCTGCCTGCCTGGAAAAACCAGTGCGGGTGCTCGACTAGGAGCACAAAGGACAAGTATGGGGTGGAATCGAAGCAGCAAGATTGGCGAAGTGGTTTCAGATATTGATGTTTTGTCCAAAGTTTGCATGACCAGCCTGCCGGAGCCCAGCTGCTGCATTTTTGGGCAGATGCTGACCTGACAAATCAAAATTGTCGCACTCGTCCCGCCTGCGCGCCTTGCTAAAGTGGCGTGCATTTCACCAGTGTTTCAATCCGGCGGCCGCCGGTTGTGGGCACATCCACGTTCGCTTCTCACAATAAGGCATTCCAGGCGACGCGGGCCCAGCTGTGTCAAGAGAAGCATCTGGCCAGTTTCATTACTTTGTTTTCATGTCGTGGTCGTGTTGCTGTTCGGCTCGACACCTAAAGGGGACAGAAGAAAATGGTGGAGGTGTTATTCCACATGTTCCACAAAGCAGTGTGATGTTTCATCGATTTAACGGCACAAACCCACTTCAAACAGCAGTTCACGTGTCATCATGGAGATGCGCACATGCTTTGGTGCTAAGGCAGATCGTGCTTGCGGGCACCTGCACATTAGTTTCAAGAGCTCCTCGATATGGGCCAGGGTTCGTCGCTCGAAATAGTTTCTGTGTATGTTTGCTGTAATGTGAAGCATGAGGAAGTGTCTCTTAATTTGGGGCCGACGTGAACAGCTGGCATGCAGATGAGGTTTTGTTGAGCTGTCCTTTGACGGTCTCAGTTTGAAAGGTGCTGCTGGTTGGCTTGGTGATCGGACTGGCCAACCCTCGTGGCTTTGTCTGCTACTTTTATTTCCGGCACGGCGAGAAATTTCCATTGAATGGCCGCGTTGTGGCATCCTAGGTGCGTGGATCGGTCATGGCAAGCCGCGGGAACGGTTGACAAGGCATGTAGCAACCCACGCGAGTTCAAGCACCACTGAGGGCTCGAGGCGTGGATGCTGTGGTGATAAAGTGACTAGGGGAATCTCCTGCCTCAAGCATGTGTTGTTTGTCGCACACCGGCAGGCCGACGGTAGCGGTGGTGGGGGCCAATGGCCGAACAGGCTCATTGGTCGTCGAGGTGGAGAGTGCAGCCGAGAGCGCCATCGAAATACGTGGAATGTGGTGTGGGGCTGCCATGGGCTGCCCTTATCCCCAATAACCTGTGGTGTATCGCGAGGCTTTGCTGAAAGATGGTTTGGCCAAGCCTGTGGCCGTAACCCGGAGCGGATCTTGGAACGCGATGGACAGACGATTTGCGGCGAGCATGTACTGGTCGCGTGATTTGAGGGTGACGCTGCTTGCCTGACAGGACGACAGCACCAATGATGTGGAAGTTCGCCAGGCTGCTGCGATTTGTCACGCTCAGAAGCCAGAAGACGATGCCGATGCATGTCCCAGGCTGACGTCACGGATCCATCCTCTTTGGTAGCAGCTTTGGCGGGCGTATCGGCAGTGGTTTTTGCGGCTTGATTCTCAGACATCCGAGGCAGCACACCCACAATCCTGCATGATGGCAGCTGGTGAGTGACCAAGGCTGCGTATTCGCGTGGCAAGACGGAGCCGAAAGATGTAGATAATGCACGGCGCCGAGATGCAACTCTGTGCACAGTTCTCCCTTATTGGTTCTGAGCTCAGGAAGGCTTGGTCAACTGTGCCAAGGTGGTTCTTCGAAACTGTAGTGAAACTGTATTGGTTGGTAGTGTGAAGTCTTGCTTCCAAGTGCCAAGTGCAGGTGGTTCTTCAAGACAAAATCGAGCGTCTCATCGTTGTCAGCAGCGCGTCGGTAACCAGACCGTTCGCTCCGGTTGGAATTTTGCTAAACACGCTCGGAGCCAAGATGAGTGCATGGGTGTTCAAAGGCACAAAGGCACGAGCTCGCGGCAAGATGCCAAGGATTGGGTCCGGAGTGTTGAACGAGAAGCTGGAGGCCGGATTGCGATTGTAGGATTGTGGATGGGCTGAAGATGCCGAACCTGTGACCGTCAGGGCGAAAATCGGATCAAGGAGATGTTGCAAGGAAGTGAGCATGCGACTAAGCAGGTCGAGTGCTAGCTTCGAGGCTTCGACAGTCTTTTGTTTGATCTTCTTTTCAGGTCATCGTACACGATTGCAGGGAGCTCGGCACCGGCTTCTGCAAGACATGTCGCAGGAACTGTTGTCCCGCAATTTGCAAGGTTAGGCCAGGCGGGTTGACCAAAGACCCAGCAGATGGTTTCTTGGAGCTGCAGTTCTGCCCTAAGCCAAAGTATCCGCGGCGGCAGTACTGACCTTTGGCGGCACACCGATTGCCCACGCATCATTGTTCGAGGTTCAACCAGGGTGACACTTATGTGGGAAACGTGGCTCGAGCCGATGTTGCTGCTGTCTGTACCTGGCCACGGAAAGTGTTTTCAAGCTTCGCAACATGAGTACTAATGCGGTAAGTTGTAAGCTGGCGGGCCAAGACCACGAACGTGCAAGGTGCGGTGGCTGCAACGGATCCGCTGAACAGCGGCGCTAATAAAACCTTTGAGATGTTCAAGGCTTGCTTGCCGGGATTTTGAGTTCAATCCGGCAAGGATGGCCGATCCTCATGTTGTGCGATTCTCAAACTTACTCAGGGCATCTCAGAGCCGTTCTTCTTTGTCGTGTACAATCGTAGAATCTGTAGAATCTTTTACCCCCGCAGACTCCAAAGCTGAAATGCAGAATCAAACGCTGATGGTCTTGGCCTTGACTTGATGCTGTGCAAGTGGGAGGTTTCAGTTCGTGTATGGTTTAGATGTTTCAGGTTCACGTTGTCTAAATAAAGCCCCCGAATCCTTGTTTTGCTGTCGCACTTCCAGAGAAGGTGGAGGGGTGACGGCAGGCTTCAGGCCCAGCATACATTTTAACGGCTCCAATGCCGAAACCAGTGTCGTGAAACGCGCCCAGCATGGTCATGCTTGCATGTTGAGTCGCGCCTCCAATTATGTCCTTTAACCGTGATTGTCCTGGTCGCAGTTGGCACATTGATGTCGAAGCGAGATTGCATTTGGGCCTCATTTGGGCATTTCTGGCACGGCACGGTCGCACACGAAATTGTGTGTAATCGCGTATAGTCATGATGTTGTGTACCGTTGCGACGACTCTCGAGCCCTGTGAGTAAAACGGTAGGTGCTCCTGATGGGCATGGCTTAACGGCTGATTCGTGTAATTACTCTTTAGGTTATCAGCCGTATTCACTGCTGCCCACTTCTTATTGGCACAATCTGTTCATACGTGGTTTTGAATCCCTTTCGCTTACTGCGATGGAAGTTGCCACAACCGAAGTTCATCCGATGAGTGCGGTGGGAGATTTGGATGATCAACTGGCACCAGGCCAGGCGGTCCCTGGCTTGGAACGGATTTTCGATTTTTTTAGTCTTTCGCAGTGTTTCTCTAATCCCGCGCTTATCAGTGAGCTTAACGTAGCAGACACTTTTACAGCACTTCGTGCAAACAAAAAGCTACATTGAAACACTAGAGCAGCAAAGTCAAATGATTGGGGCGGGCCGAGGCGGATGCCAAACGAAGGCACGAAAAGATTCTGCATCAACAAACACAGATGAACTACAGATGAACTGCATGAGAATGGCTGGCATGGCACCTTCATGAGCATCAGGTGTCAGAATGTGCAGCTGAGTTTGCAGAAGGTGAATTTAATGCATCCCCAAGGCACAAGTTTTCGCTCAACGAAGTGGCTGCATGCCGAAAGGAAATGCAGAACATGGAGCATGTTCTTCAATAACGTCACATCTCAGAAATGACAAGACTCAGAATTGTTCTGGTCGTTGAGAGTGAACAAAACAAGAACGAACCCACCAACTTTCTCGGAATGCGTTTCAGCATTGGAAACGAATTCGTACCTTGACGGAGAGCGTTTCAGAGAAGACAAGCGAAACCGCCGTAAGATGGTGCAAAGTTGAGCATGCGATGCAGCTCCAGTTCGCCGAACAATATTGCCACCGCGCCATCAAGCTGCTCGGCAAGCACTGCCAGGCGATCCAGGCGCAAAACGCAAAGCCGGGCAAGGCGCAAGAGCAATCCACGGAACGATGCCTACTGGAAGCAAAAGTGTTTTGAAGATCATGCAGATGCCGCAGGTGGAAGTCCCGGATATCTCTAGCCGAGGAGGCCGTTACCCAGCCCGCGGTCTCGAAAGTATCCGCGAGATTTTTATGGTGGCCGTGTGTGCACTTCACGTAGATGGGGAAGGCTGGTTGAACAATCGTGTCCATAGCGTGCTCCATTGGACCTTTGAACGCCAGCCTGCTCTTGTTGTCATCTACGACTTCGAGGACTTCCATACAAAGTACTCAAGGTCCGCCCCAGCTATGAAGCTGGTACTTTGAGCCTTTGTTGATGGAGGCCGGTGAGAAAGGCCGTCACCTTATGCTCGCACCGAGGGTAACACGGACCTTGGGCCATAACGTGACGACTCTCTGTGATGTGCCCATCGGCCTCCTCTTTCGACGGGCTTTGGTTCCAGTAGTCAGTAGTCGTAAACATCCGTGCGAAGTGCCAGGTGTCGTCGGTGTCGTGCATCCACCCCATGTTCGTTGCACCCTGGTTGCCATCGACGACGACAGCGGGCGGAGACTGTCCAACAATGGCTTTCCTTCTCCTTCCGCTTCACAGACGGCCTTTGGAGGCTAATGCCATCAGAGAGGGTAGGCCGATCGTGCCGATTCAAAGGGCAACTCCTCGCCTGTATCACCGCGCAATACAAGACGCCGCATTTGCATTTCTTTCTGGAAGCATGACCCCAGGTTTCGGCGACGGCGGCAAAGCACACAACCACTTCGCCCCCGAGCGTCTCGAGGAACAGTGAATTCAGGTGTGCGTGCACATCTCCATCGAGATGGTTTTCGCAACCTGCGAGATACTCGAGGCTGGTTGCGATGTTTTCGTGACTGAATCTGATGGGTATTTGACCGCTGATTGTGATCCGGGCAGTGCTATTCTCTTCATCAACCGATGCTGCGCCTGAGCCCTGCCCCCGGTAGTAGAGGAGAGGCCGAGCCAATCGGAAGGCACCCTCCTCTTCCGGACCACCCGGCGGCATGGAGGAGCCACTGCTCTGTACAATGCCTCCGAGGACGGCGTGCCTGCTTCCAATGCGGAGGGCCTGTGAAGCTTGGGCAACTCAAAAGCCAACGCTGCTGCACACTAATTGCACATGGTCGCGAAGCTTTGCTTCAGGAGCTGGGTGATGAGGCCGAGCGCCAAGCCCTCGGTGGTGTTGACGCCAGGCTCAGAGTCCAAATCTCGTCGAGAGGCGTCGCCGCGCGTGGCACGTCATCGTTTGAAGGTGTGCTGTCAGGAAGGCTCCCGTTGCCAAGGCCAAGGCCCACACGAAGAGGCTAATCCTCGGAGCCGTTCAACCCAGACAACACCTATGCCGCATTTATGCCTTCTGCCATCTCGATGACAAACGAGGGCCGCATGCGTAGGTCTATCCGCAGTATGGATTGCACATACGGCACCTACCTCCCCAATCCTGGCTATTGGGCCTGGTTGCAGTCTGCAACAAGCGTCCGGCGGCGCGATGACGTGCCGATATGCCGTTTGATTAACGTCCATGCTGGCAACACACGCATCGCCTTCACTTGCTACGGCGCCGTCTTCGTCAGGTCCTGCAAAATGTGGTGGCGAGTTGCAGTGCTGTCTGTTCTGGGAACATGAAAACCAGATTCGTTCAACTCAGACATGGGTGCAGAACAAGGCTTTCATGCATGCATTCGCGTGGCTGGTTTAGCAACGTAGCGAAAAGTCTGGGACCGGACGGAACAGATCTTCTTGATTTCTCAGCCAGACCCAGCTTGGTTGCAGATAGTTGGTTTAACTCGTGCCGGCATTGGCAACGGATGGGTGTTCATGGAGCCATGTCTTTGTTGGGGCAGTACATACCTGAGTTTGTTTCTTTGAACAAGTCGTGCCTGCATGCAGATGGGTTGTGGCATGTTGGAATGCATTCGGACACATGGCCCATTGACGGACCCGACATAGTTGCCAGATGCTGCCAGCAACCACGGATGTTTAAATATTCACAAAGTGTTGCTGGGCATTAAGCCAGGCACGAACTCGAAATCCACTTCTGCCTTGGTTCCGTGGCAAAACGAGATTCTCGGCCTCTGGTTGATTTTGACCCAGTCGGTTGTGGCGTGAAGCACCACGATTCCGTTTGCTAAGCGTTTGCGATTGGTATAAGGATATGTCATTCCGGGGCTTCGTGATTGTGGCGCCCGGGCCTCAGACCAATCACCATGGCTCTCTGCCCCATAAAGGCTTTGGGTTTGTGGTGTATCTGGTGTGTCGCTTTGCAGCTCAGGCCATGCTGGCCAGACTCAGGCCGCCTGTGGTGGGCCTGGGGATGCCTAGGAGGGCCTAGGGCTTGACAGAGCACAAGAAAGGGCAATAGTCACTAGTGCCTTTGGCATCCCCGCTGCTTTACTTGAGTGAAGGGTTGCCAGACAAAATTGAATGATTGAAAAAATATAGAGCACATCAGCCTGCACGGGTCCATGTCAGCGCAGGAAGCAACCACTTTACCGCCCCGTTTTAGCCCACAACGCCAAGCTGGAAAGTGCCGCGTTTAGAATCGGGCTGCGCCCCACATCTACATCATCTACTAATTGCTCTTCACGTCACCGAAATGTCGGGTTATGTGGGGGGAGTCCTTCGCAACGCTGATCGAGCGTGCCGTCTTGTTCACGCGAGACGTACGGTAATCGATGGTGAGAGCGACGTTATCAAGAAGAGTGCCAAGAATGCACGTGCGAGCTTGCTGAGGGTCCATGCCTGTTGTGTGGGCTGTTGTCCTGTCGCAAGAAGGCCCGACAAGGAAGTCTACGACGTGCCGGGACAGTGGCCCCTGTCGCTCGACGACTTCAAGCTGAACCTGCCTCAGAAGTGAATATGGAGGAAGAGGGCGTGTTTCTTCAGTGTATTCCGGTAGCTTGTCTTATAATGCTATAATTTTCCAGCTAGCTGCAATTTTCGGCAGCTGTGTGCACACCTTTGCCAATCCATGGTTCGCAGTGGAACATCATTGTAATCCGTAAGGTTGCATTTGCACACTGCTTGCATCAGCATTGAGTGTCAACTGCACTTGGAAGTGCCAGCGATGCTGTGGTGAAAAACGAAACTCCTCACGTCCGCTGGCTCTGCGTACGGGGATTGCTTACATGTTCAATGGGAGAGCGCGTGGGTGTGCAACCTCAGCGCTCGTCTGATGGGTGGAAGCTTAGCTTTGCACCCGTTCGTTGCAGCCTACCAAAACATGAGATCAAGCATGCATGTTTGGATGGGACACACCGTCCAAAGGAACTCAAGACCCTTTGTGTTTCACCTTTACCAATTCTGGTTTCAAGTGCATCTCGTCGTGGGCGCCAAGAAGTGGGTACATGCTGGCGTGAAAGATCCCGCTGAAGACAGCAACGACTGGGGATGGAAGCATCCATGCAAAGCAGTAGTAGGGCGAGTTAAAGACTCATGGGCTTGTTCAGCAGAGCCAAGAAGAAGGATCCGGATGAGGCTGGGAATGAAGTGCAGCCCCGCTTCTCGCAAGAAGCCACATTGCTTTTCAGGCAAAGGACGCTGTCGATTTAGAAGCTGGTGGCGATGCCGATGGCCACTCGGAGACACTACCCGCAACTCAAATCCTTGCAATCGGCACATCCTCACATGAAATGTATGTGGCCCCGTGTGCCGCTTGTCCTTTCGTCTGTCTGCATCTTGCAGCCTGAAACAGTGTGGATCGTGCAACATGGAAGCTGTCGATATGGTACAAAGCTTGCATCTTTGGAGAGGAGGTGATTAGTTTCAATCTGCCAGCACTTCCACACAAGGATCTACCTGATACTGCGGTTGAATCGAATTAGTGCAGCGGCCGTCGAATCGAGCTTGAGACGGCCGGGCAGCGGACGTTCGATTTGTTCTTCTTTCCTAGCCTGAACTCTTCTTGCCTGTTCTCGCCCGAAAAATGCCAAGTCCCGGCTGCTTCCGAAAAGGAGGCCGTTGTTAACATCCGAGTAAAGTTCTATCCAGAAAGCTGCAGAGTTGCAGAGTGCGAATGAGTGCAGCTTGTGGAGAGCCGAGGCGAGGCTGCCGAGGGAGAGAAGGAGAACCAAGGCACCGAGGCTGAGGAAGGCAGGGCCCCACAGGGCCGCAGGGAGTTCTCTCCGAGCAGGTGACCTGTATCTGCCGTGCAGGTGATGCAGCCGCAGGCCCCAAAGCTGGTGCCGGGCAAAACCGGACGCTCGCCCCATCGTACATTGTAGCTGTTGTGTGAGCGCAGGCACATAAAAAGCACACGATCAGGGTTCGCACCGCATCAGGAAGATGAGGCTACGCCTCCCCAAGTTCGGCAAAGCCGAGGAGCAGCTGATGCGATTTTGGAGTCTGCACTCCTTGCGCCAGAAGCTAGCACACTTTTTGAAAGGAGGATCCCGAGGAAACAAGAGAGCCAATGGACAGGATGCGATGGTGGGAGCTGACCTTCTCCATCAGGGGCTTTGAGAATGTTACCGTTGAGACGCTCAAGCTCTTCTGGACGGTGTCGCTGGGAAGCGAGAATCCCAAAAAGCATCGAAATCGAGATGCTCGCCTAAAAGGAACACAAAGGCACATGTTTTGTGGGGTTTGGCTTCCGTCCTCTGCTTCCTTGCCGATCTGAGGTGCGCTTGCAGACGAGGTTTTCGTCGATCTTCACGCTGGAGAAAGGGAAAGTCTTCACGGCCGACAACCCGATCCTCATGTACGAACGGAAGACCTTTGCACTTTCCTACAAGGAGCAACTCTTCTGGCTGGGTTTCCGCCCTTCGCTCATGCAACACTGCTTTGGGGATGACAGGGCATGTTTGCGCAATGTTAGAGCACGTGGCAAGGAGTTGGACAAGCATGTGGTCAAGGTCGACATGTGGAGAGTGTCCTGCTGGACTTTCAACGAATACTTCGGCCTGAAGAAGCAAAAGCTGTCTCTCATTGCGAATCGCGACCCGAACATGGAGCTACGTATCTTGAGAAAGCTATCTCGTGCACTGTCTGCATTTTCTTGTTTTTTCTTGCGCGCTTGTTGGCAGTTGCAGGGCTAGAGCAGTCTCCATTGAACCTGAAGAAGAATGGTTAAACTATTGGTGAGCTCACGAGAGCAACCAATACGCTGTCCATCCACTTTCATTGAATGTTGTCTGTGTGCGGGGCCGAAGACACAGCATTTCGAGCAAGACATGTCCAAAGACCCGACCGACAGGTTAGCGGAAAGGAGCCAGGAGCTTGCAAGCCCCAAACAGTCACGGGTGAGAGCGCTTCTCCTGGTAATCCGAGAAGCCCATGGGCAGGATGGATGCGAGCGGGATCTTTCTGGCTCGTTCTTGAGGTTTTCGGATTTGTTCGGTCGATGTTGCCGGGCCCTCTGCTTCGTCTCGGGTGACAGCTATTTTGGGCATGGTTTGTCGGATTGTATTCCTGCTGCATGCCCATGATTGCCCATGTCGCACGAGCATGTTGCTCGAACGAGGGCAGGGCGGACAGCTACTTCGTTGCACGAGTACTTGATGGGAATGTTGCTCATATATAGGTTGCAACAGATTTTCTTGGCAGCCTTTGCGCCTTGCACGAGTGGTGTGTGTGTGTGTGTGTGTGTGTGTGCTGAAGCCTGAGTGCGACAAGTGTGGAGGCAGCACTTGGGGACCTCATGGGAAAAACACAGCCCTGCCAAGATCTTGCGGAGGATAGCCTCGACAAGCAAGGTAACAGGGGCTCGAGTGACTCCTGACGGTTTGCGTGTGAGTTTTTCGGTGTGCAGGCCTAAACGTGCGAAACTGTGGTTTCAGCAAACATTAGCTTGGGACATGTGTTTCAAGGAAGAGCGCGATCCTCGAGAGGGGTCACTTGGAATGGGGCACTTTGTGCGTTTTACAGTGGTTTTCAGCACATGCTGAAGCAAGCGTTCAAGCAAAACTTTACGTTGATGACGTTTTTTGGCTTCGTTGCTTGTGCGTGCTTGTCGCTCATTCACCAGAGTTAATGATAAGGAGAAGTTTTAGGAGCAAGAGCTCTGTATTCGAAAAACGCAAGAAAGCAAAAATCATTAGCATCAGTGTGGCCGAAAGAGGCTCTTGGTCTCTGTACATCCCTGAATAGTAGGAAAACCTATAGCATATACAGCAAAGGCTCCGAAGGGAACGGAGGACGTTATCATGGTTGGGCGATGGATGCTCTGCGGGAACAGATGGGGTCGGGGTGGACGTTATTATGGTTGGGCCATGTCTGCTCTGCGGGAACGGATGGGGTCGGGGTGGACGTTATTATGGTTGGGCCATGGATGCTCTGCGGGAACGGATGGGGTCGGGGTGGACGTTATTATGGTTGGGCCATGCATGCTCTGCGGGAACGGATGCGGTCGGGGTGGACGTTATTATGATTGGGCCATGGATGCTCTGCGGGAACGGATGCGGTCGGGGTGGACGTTATCATGGTTGGGTCATGGATGCTGTGCGGGAACGGATGGGGTCGGGGTCATGGATGCTCTGCGGGAACGGATGCTGTCGGGGTGGACGTTATTATGGTTGGGCCATGGATGCTCTGCGGGAACGGATGGGGTCGGGGTGGACGTTATTATGGTTGGGCCATGGATGCTCTGCGGGAACGGATGGGGTCGGGGTGGACGTTATTATGGTTGGGCCATGGATGCTCTGTGGGAACGGATGGGGTCGGGGTGGACGTTATTATGGTTGGGCCATGGATGCTCTGCGGGAATGTTATTATTGTTGGGCCATGGATGCTTTGCGGGAACGGATGGGGTCGGGGTGGACGTTATTATGGTTGGGCCATGGATGCTCTGCGGGAACGGATGGGGTCGGGGTGTGGACGTTATTATGGTTGGGCCATGGATGCTCTGCGGGAACGGATGGGGTCGGGGTGGACGTTATTATGGTTGGGCCATGGATGCTCTGCGGGAATGGATGGGGTCGGGGTGGACATTATTATGGTTGGGCCATGGATGCTCTGCGGGAACGGATGCAGTCGGGGTGGACGTTTGGGTCCATGGATGCTTTGCGGGGAACGGATGGGGTTGGGGTGGACGTTATTATGGTTGGGCCATGGATGCTCTGCGGGAACGGATGGGGTCGGGGTGGACGTTATTATGGTTGGGCCATGCATGCTCTGCGGGAACGGATGGGGTCGGGGTGGACGTTATTATGGTTGGGCCATGGATTCTCTGCGGGAACGGATGGGGTCGGGGTGGACGTTATTATGGTTGGGCCATGGATGCTCTGCGGGAACGGACGTTATTATGGTTGGGCCAGGGATGCTCTGCGGGAACGGATGGGGTCGGGGTGGACGTTATCATGGTTGGGCCATGGATGCTCTGCGGGAACGGAGGGGGTCGGGGCCATGGATGCTCTGCGGGACCGGATGAGGTCGGGGTGGACGTTATTATGGTTGGGCCATGGATGCTCTACGGGAACGGATGGGGTCGGGGTGGACGTTATTATGGTTGGGCCATGGATGCTCTGCGGGAACGGATGGGGTCGGGGTGGACGTTATTATGGTTTGGCCGCTGTGCGGGAACGGATGGGGTCGACGTTATCATGGTTGGGCCATGGATGCTCTGCGGGAACGGATGGGGTCGGGGTGGACGTTATTATGGTTGGGCCATGGATGCTCTGCGGAAAGGATGGGGTCGGTCTGGACGTTATTATGGTTAGGCCATGGATGCTCTGCGGGAACGAATGGGGTCGGGGTGGACGTTAATATGGTTGGGCCATGGATGCTGTGCGGGAACGGATGGGGTCGACGTTATCATGGTTGGGCCATGGATGCTCTGCGGGAACGGATGGGGTCGGGGTGGACGTTATATTATGGTTGGGCCATGGATGCTCTGCGGGAACGGATGGGGTCGGGGTGGACGTTATTATGGTTGGGCCATGGATGTTGTGTGGGAACGGACGGGGTTGACGTTTTATCATGGTTGGGCCATGGATGCTCTGCGGGATCGGGGTGGACGTTGTCATGGTTGGGTCATGGATGCTTTGCGGGAACGGATGGGGTCGGGGTGGACGTTATTATGGTTGGTCCATGGATGCTCTGCGGGAACGGATGGGGTCGGGGTGGACGTTATTATGGTTGGGCCATGGATGCTGTGCGGGAACGGATGGGGTCGACGTTTTATGTGGATGCTCTGCAGAAACAAATGGGGTCGGGGTGGACGTTAATATGGTTGGGCCATGTATGCTGTGCGGGAACGGATGGGGTCGACGTTATCATGGTTGGGCCATGGATGCTCTGCGGGAACGGATGGGGTCGGGGCCATGGATGCTCTGCGGGAACGGATGGGGTCGGGGTGGACGTTATTATGGTTGGGCCATGCATGCTCTGCGGGAACGGATGGGGTCGACGTTATCATGGTTGGGCCATGGATGCTCTGCGGGAACGGATGGGGTCGGGGTGGACGTTTTATTATGGCTGGTCCCTGGATGCTGTGCGGGAACGGATGGGGTCGTTGTTTTATCATGGTTGGGCCATGGCTGCTCTGCGGGAACGGATGGGGTCGGGGTGGACGTTATCATGGTTGGGCCATGGATGCTCTGCGGGAACGGATGGGGTCGGGGTGGACGTTATTATGGTTTGGCCGCTGTGCGGGAACGGATGGGGTCGACGTTATCATGGTTGGGCCATGGATGCTCTGCGGGAACGGATGGGGTCGGGGTGGACGTTATCATGGTTGGCCATGGATGCTCTGCGGGAACGGATGGGGTCGGGGTGGACGTTATCATGGGCCATGGATGCTGTGCGGGAACGGATGGGGTCGGGGTGGACGTTATCATGGTTGGGCCATGGATGCTCTGCGGGAACGGATGGGGTCGGGGTGGACGTTATTATGGTTGGGCCATGGATGCTCTGCAGGAACGGATGGGGTCGGGGTGGACGTTGTTATGGTTGGGCCATGGATGCTGTGCGGGAACGGATGGGGTCGGGGTGGACGTCATCATGGTTGGGCCATGGATACTCTGCGGGAACGGATGGGGTCGGGGTGGACTTTATCATGGTTGGGCCATGGATGCTGTGCGGGAAAGGATGGGGTCGACGTTATCATGGTTGGGTCATGGATGCTCTGCGGGAACGGGTGGGGTCGGGGTGGACGCTATCATGGTTGGGCCCTGGATGCTCTGTGGGAACGGATGGGGTCGGGGTGGACGTTATTATGGTTGGGCCATGGATGCTCTGCGGGAAGGGATGGGGTCTACGTTGTCATGGTTGGGCCATGGATGCTCTGCGGGAACGGATGGGGTCGGGGTGGACGTTATCATGGTTGGGCCATGGATGCTCTGCGGGAACGGATGGGGTCGGGGTGGACGTTATCATGGGCCATGGATGCTCTGCGGGAACGGATGGGGTCGGGGTGGACGTTTCTTTTTGAACACTTTTGCCTCCGTAACCTACACTCCCACACTCCCACCCACAATCGACCACGTCTGAAGCTTGGTGCGGTACAATAATAGTACAGTAGTACAATAGTAGTACAGTAGAAATAATACAGTAGTAGTACAGTAGTAATACAATAATAGTGCAGTATAGTACAATAGTAATACAACAGTAGTACAGTGGTAGTACGACAGTAGTACAGTAGTAGTACAATAATAGTACAGTAGTACAATAGTAGCACAATAGTAGTACAGTAGTACAGTAGTAGTACGATAATAGTACCGCAGTACAATAGTAGTACAGTAGTAGTACAGTAGTAGTACAATAATAGTGCAGTAGTACAATAGTAATACAAAGGAGTACAGTGGTAGTACGATAGTAGTACAGTAGTAGTACAATAATAGTACAGTAGTACAATAGTAGTGCAGTAATAGTACAGTAGTAGTACCATAGTAGTACATCAGTACACTAGTAGTACAGTAGTAGTACAACAGTAGTACAGTAGTACAGTAGTAGTACAGCAATAGTACAGAAATAGTACCAATAAGCAAAGCATAAAGTCAGTGAGCACATTCCCCCAATAAGCAAAGCATAAAGCCAGCGCCTGAAACCCTAAACCCTAAACCGTAACAACCGTTAAACCCTGAACCCTAAACCCTAACAAACCCTAAACCCTAACGAATCCTAAACTCCTAAACCCTAACAAACCCTAAACCCTAAACCCTGAACCCTTCCCAAAGGGGGGTCAGTCCAGATTCGACCCAAACTTGAATTTTTTATACAAACTTTAGTACTGGAGAGGCCTTTTTCGAGCAAGGGTCCAATTCCCAATTCGGCGGTTCACCCTAGCAGCCCCCCCCCAATAAGCAAGGCATACAGTAGCAGTACATCAGTACTATAGTAGTACAGTAGTAGTACAGATTTCATTCCTGACGCCCCAATAAGCGAAACAATTCTGCAAGAGATTTTCGGGCTTCAGGGCCAGGGTTTTAGGGTCTGGGTGGGGGCTTCAGGTCGTGGCTGCCTTAAGATTGACCATCAGCAGACAGCACACAAACCCCCCCAAAAATCCCGCCAGCCAAAAAAAACGCATTAATTAGAACACCCAAATTTTTGGTAAGATTCGGAATTAGCACCGGAGAAGACGCATTAAAGCGGCCTATGTTCCAAAACCGACACCCACATTAAGACCCGAGTTTTAAGCATGTCCGAAGCCTGAAACTAGCAAAATCTCAGGAGCCATTGGTGCCTCTCTTACCACAAACAAGTCCGATTCCAAACCGACTCTCGCGCTCGTCGTGCAGAACTATTGCTTTATATGAACACTCGGCACTTTACAAGTTGGCACTCTGCAAAATTGTGTTGGCTTCGACCGCCGTGCAGGAACTACTGATTCAGGTTCATTTATACAGCAGGGACACGCCGCAGGCGGGGGATCTATATGCATCGGGACAGGGATTTGTGTTGAACTAGCGGTGAAATCTTGCGCTGCACATTCGAAATGTTGGCAACCTCAGGCTTGAAACTAAAGAAGATATAAAAGATCAAAGCCGCAACCGTGCAAGGAATCGTCGTCAGCGATACGTGAGAGCATGTAGGGAACTACCGTCAGTCAGATTGGGGCATGTGCGGAACAAGTACTTGCGCGAGCAGGAGATGGAATAGGGTCCATGCGAGTTTAGAACCGTGCGTGCTTCTACGTAGAGATCTGCGGGGCATGTGTGCACGGGAGCTAGTCCACGGCAAAGGCCAATTTCATCCGGGGGGGCTCTTTTTCAATTAAAGGAAACAGAAGGATCTATGTAGAGATCTACGAACGTATGTGGCCAGGGGGTGCCTTGCAGTAGTTTCTTCCAGTGGAAGGTGGCACCAGCCCCGTCAGCCCAAGCTGGCGAGCAGAGTTGCGACAAACAGCATGACTGCCACTGTTGTTGCTGCCGGACGGCCATGTTCGAAGTCCCATGCCAATTCCTGTCATCCGTGGTGCTGACGGATGCTCATCCATGCTTTTCGATGCCTCAGCTTGAACCAGCTTGTGCATTGACACTAAGGGAAGCAAATGGCCGACAAAAAGAAAGCCAAGTCAGTGGCTGACGTTGCACTGTACAGATGCACCGTAAATCTCGAAGAAATATTCGACTTCGATTTGTTCTGTCCGCTCCTGAGGACCTCAGTGCTCTTGTGACTCGTGTGGCCTTCTTTTCACCTGGTCCTTGGCAGAAAGGCGAGAACTGGACGTTGGAACTTCGACGAGCCAGTCCGGAGTACACGAAGATGAAAGAAGAGCGTAAGCGCTTGACTTTCACCATGCCTCGGGACAGCCTGGCGTCTTCAAGCTAGGGAAGGGCCTTGCAAATAGATGATGCCGGGAAGTAGAGCAACCTCTTTCCAAAGCTTGTGTGTTAGCTTCTTGCGAGCATGTGTGGCAAGGTGTACATATGGGTATAGGCATACGGCGTATACGGTATACATGATGATGTATGTATTTATGTACATATATATATATATGTATGCTCATGTGTGGGTGTCTGTGTGCATGTGTAAACTGAAAAGTCGCCCCAGTAGCTTAGCAGGATCTCTTGATCAAGCTCGGGATTCGCGAAAGGAGCTTTCTCGGGCTCTACTTGTACCAACAAGTTGAGACGTTTTGTTGTTTTTGATGTGGGCAACCTACGAAGGCTCTTGGGACAGAATCCAAGAAGCCGACACCAAAGGAGTCGTCTAAGAGCTCCAAGTGGCGTGGATCCTGTAGGATACCTGAGATAATGACGTTCTCAGGTCGGATGCTTGGCATTTCCCGTTGCTACAGCAATGGGCCCGACATGGCTTTGCTTGAGGAATCCAGGAATGCCACCGCCTCTACCCAGCATAGGTCCTGCCCGGTACGGTCTCAGACTGCTCGTTTCGCTCCGGCTCCAAACACAAATCACGAAACCTCCGGGATCAAGTCCGTCCTTGCAAACAGCAGTTCAACTGTTCGTGAGTGCGAGACCCGCAAACACTCTTTCGATTGTTTTCGGACATCTTCGGACAGCGCATTCTGCAGTTGATCAAGCCGAGGGGTGCCGGGAAGTGTGTGATGTGCTTTGTGAAGACCAGTCACTGCGAACTCGTTGTTCGGAGTGAGTACGCTGCGTGGTGCTGCGGAGCTTGTCACGGGGAGCCATGGGTTTGGAGATCGACAGGACCGACGAACACTTCCTGGGCAGCGGCGATATCTTGGCAGAGGTGCCGCATCGCAAACTGTGGAGACTTTGGCATAAAAGGCCCACATTTCGCGAACTTTCTCGCACTGTCGCGGTGGCTCAGGAGTGGAACCAACAGGATGGTCGCTTCTTCTGGCCGAGCTGCGGGAAGTTCGTCTTCCGAGGTACACGGACTCACCTGCAGAACTCCTACTTCATCGTTTCAGTTCTGACTGGAAAGCCTCCGGCGTTTCTGGCGGACAACGCGATGCTGAGCAGCATAGTATGATTTGCCTGTGTCCCTACTGTCCCGGTATCGTTTGAAATCATGCAGGCACCTGAAGTATCTCAGGACTGTGCAGAGATTGGAGAAGCATGCGCCTGCACAACCTCACCGAGTTCTTGGTCGATGTCTGCTCAATCTGACTTCAGTGACATAGCCTGCCTGTCCAGAGAGTAGGTCACCAATGAAGGAATACAGTATACAGACCTTTGCCCCCTGGCTCCTAGCTTATCCCACTGCAGGTATTGGACATGTCCGTATTTCAGGGGAAGGCCATAGATAGAAGTCAAGCACGTTCTGTCGATGCCGAGTTGGAATGGCACCTGCTGTCGACAATCTGAGTATGAGACCCCTGCAAGGTCAAGAGGTTCACGGCAGATCATGATCGCTACATTGTCGGTGATATCAATGGCAACGTCAAGTGCATATTGCGTTCCAAAGGCATGAAGGAGTAAATATCTTTTGATGCGTTCAGTTCTGCAACATGCTTCAACCGCAGACTGGTTCAGTCCAGGAGCCCGAACTAGACTTCCGCACGAACCGGCCGGAGCAACTCAAAACTGCCACTACCGAGTCTTTTCTGCAACATGTCGCTTATATGCTCAGTTCACTCAGCATGCAATTCTACTTGAATGGCCCAGGTGTCTCACTTGAACCGATACGAAAGGTATTTAGTGGTGCGTCGCCAGTCAGCATGGTACAGCATCGCAGTAATCGCTGTGCCAGTTCCAATTTGTCGATACTGGGATCGATGACGAAAGGTCTTTGCGGTTTGCCTAGGCATCAAGAAATGTGAAGCACTGCCCGTTGCGGACTTTGACACAAGCAGCTCGGAAGCTTGGCTGCAAATCCGGGCATGGTACTGGCTGTGAGGGTCAGCGGCCCGAGCCCTGCCAAGGATCCTTACCTACGTTGCACCTGGGACAACATGGTCATGCTTTCACCAGTCGTCAAGCAATCCTTGCGCCCGGTTTTCAACCAGAGCTTTTACTTCCCTGTGAGGGTGTCTGGGCTGCACACACACTGTGTCGGATGCATTCCATGGGTCGGAAGGGTAGAAGCCTGGTAGAAGCCACCACATGGTAACCCGAGGTGGTGTTTCCTGAAATGCGGATGGGCTCCAAGGTGCGGATGCTTCCGGCGTTTCCTCAGTCAGAGACTTTCCGCGTGACTACTTCAGGCAGAGAAGAAACATCAGGATACAATCCTCAAGTACGAATTGACCAGCAAGGGCTTCGTGCAAATCCAGGTGTGGGATGACGATGTGACGTCAGCGGACTGCCTCGGTGGATGTCAGGTTACCCTGGGTGACATTCTGAATGTCAGGGCGACGCAGAAGCGTACCCTTCTAGGTCCTCTGAAGACAGAAAAGAAGGACGACGATGAGGAGGAGAATGAGCTTGAAGAGAAGCAAGAAAGACACAACCAGTGGTATGAAGAGCCGAGGTCGGTGCGTGTGTATGATGGGAGCAAGACAGCTTTGGGCCAATCAGCTTTGGCCAACAAAGATGCTGCTCTCATACATTTCGAGGCCTACTTCTACCCAGATTGGGCTGAAACTCTCCGGTTTGAAGATGACGTACAGGAGGCTGATACGGAATCTGTTTGGGCAAAAAAAGAAGAGGAATGGACCATCCGGAACCGGCAGAAGGCCGAAGACTATGCTTTGCCTTTTCCGGATTCAATCGGAGCCAAGCGGCCCAAAGAGGAGAGCATGATGCAAACCGCCGACTCACTGCGACGTTTCCCTTGCATCGGTCTCCATCCGCTGACGCGTGTTGAGACGCCGCTGATGGCTTTCGTTTCACCGATCATTGTGCCTGAGGAATGGAGCTTTCCCGCAAAGATGCTCGAATGGGTGCATTGCCTATCATTTGAGATTACCCAGCGCCAAGCTCGCACAGGTCTTATTCCGACTGACGGCTGGAAGGACCCCGAGTATGTCCTGGCGCGACGCAAGGGAGCACCACAGGATCACTCAGTCCTGCTTTGCTCGCTATTGCTTGGCTGCAAAGAAGATGCCTACGTGGTCAAGGGCACTGTCTACTCCAAAGATCCTGTTGCAACTATTGACAAGGCAGACCAACTCATCGAACACACCTGGGTGATGACACGCCATAAAGGTTGGGTAACATTCTGGGAGCCTTGCAGCCGGCAGATCTACCACCTTCCACATCGATACGACCCGAAGAAAGCCAGGAGAAGGAAAGCAGAGCACACCTTGGGACAGGAGCCAAGCCTCCTGCAGCATGTGATCTTTTGATAGCTGCACCGTGTCGTTTTGGCGATTTTGTCGGGCTGTGGGTCCCAGTCTTATGCCGAGGAGGAAGACAAAGAAGAAGACGATGAGGAAGAAGAGCAGGACGAAGACGCAAATCTGGAGAAGCCGCAGTGGGAAGGAAGTTGCTGCGTGACGTTTGGTTGTGCTGTTCGGGATTATGCTTTTCTCCTTGATCGTGCTGTGTGGCTGCTGTCAGGGGAAGCAGAAGATTCCCGAGTCCATTTGGAGGACATGGAAAGTCTGCCCACCGTGGGGCGTATGCCGGGAGCCCAATGACCTACTGGTAACATGATGCTTTCTCAGCGTTAATCGATCCGACTAAGGCCCAAGCCAAAGATGCGCTCAGATAAAGGCAAGAAGAAGGATGAGGAACCGGGCCGTGAAAGGCTAAAGCGAGAACTCATCGAGCAGCGTGAGGCAGTTTGGGCATTTGCTTGTTGTGCTTTGTGCTGGACCGATTTCTTCTAGCTGGAGATATCTTGCTGTAGAAATCCAGGGCCTTTCCATTGCTCCGAAACGGAAGATGCTGCAGGACGTTTTCTGCTTAGGATTGCCAGGATTTCATGCACATCAGCCTTGCTGAAAGGAAGATACCCTAGTGACATGGCTGCCATACGACTCCATAGAGGCCGGCAGTTGCCCTGCCTCTTTCAAAGTGGCTGTCAGCTCGTGCAGACAGGTTGTGTTCAATGACAAAAATGCGTGGGCAAATCGTCAGAACCACCATCCAGCTTGCATTTCATACGAGTCCTGCTTGCAGTTTGAGGGGCTGATCGGGAAACTGCGCCCATCCGAGTCACGTGTTTTGTCGATAATGCATTGCACATTGGAGCAGCATTCACAAAGACGCCTTAGTTGCAGCTGTGCTGCAACGTGGGTTTGGTCATGTTGTGTGTTTTGGAAGGAAGAGCAAGCGAATGCTGGCCTCTCCATGGCATCTCCCAGTCGCATGGTTAACCTCCATCGCAGGTCTTTCCCTACCTAAGCAAGCACCGACAACATAGAACTTCCATTCAGACCTCGGCTCCAAAGCTTGCTTGGGCATTCGCTCGTTTTTGCTGACCATTGGGTAGACTCCTGTCCGCACGCGAGCCTTTCATGCTCCATGTCTCTCATTGGCCGAAGCATCTCAGGACTTCGACGACACAGATGCAGAAAGCCCTCCGTGGGAACCATTCCTCAGTGATGATGATGAAAAGACTTCTGGAAGCAAGCTTTGCTTATGTCGTGAGTTCGACGGGAAGTGAGTTTTCTGTGCCTTTGCCTCTGACTCAGGAGCCTTCACTTCCAGCCGATTTGCCCGAATGTTTCGGTTCAGCCGGAACTGCGGCCATCTATCATTGATGAACTGCAGGATGATTTGCGTGCGCCAGTTGCATTAGTCGTGTGTGACTGCGTGGATGCTTCCAAGTGCTCCACCAGGTACAGAGATGATGCAAAACCTGCAGCTTTATAGAGGCAAAAAAGGCATGGACACCATGTTTGACCACAACGAGGCTGGGCATCTCATTTTGTGCCCGGCATTGCAGAGATCCCGCCTGGAGGAGCTCATGCACCAGCTTCGACTCTTCCTGGAGATCCACGAGCTTTGGAGACAGATTGATCCTGATAGTCCTGCTGCTTCCAGGCCTGAAAGCTTGTCAGCGCTGACCGTTCTACCAACACTCTTGTCACGTGGCAGGGTCCTCGAGGGATATCGTGAGATTCCGAACGACTATCCCCGGGAGCAGATGACAGACCAGCAAAAGTGCATCGCCTTTGAGCTGTGTTCCCGTGCGCAACAGCTGAAAGTTGCATTTTTCTCCCTTCAGGTTCTTCAACTTTGTTGGCACCCGGGCCGTGTCAGTTGATTGCGGAAGACGTCCATTCAGTTTGAGCTAAATGCTGTGAGCGCGTTCTTCCGCAGATGTAACCAGAACCAAGGTCGAATTCTGAACCTTCGAGTCTGGAATCGTCACGGGTCTCCTTTCTTCGACAGTGGTTACAAGGTGCACGGATTTGCACCTGGAGCGATGTGACACGACCTGCTGTTACCAGGATTATGCCAAAGAGCAGGATCGCTTGTGGAAGTCGCTTGAGCGCTTATGCCATGATTTCCAAAAGAAGGAGGACTGCCCGCCGGCCCAGGGTTTCATTCGTCTACAGTAAGTTTGCATTCAGCTTGACATGGACGGTATATTGCGACCGAGAATCTGAGCCCATGTCTCGAGACCTGAAACGCCTCGTGTAGACGGCTGGGTGGTAGCTGGGGGTAGGGAAAGCAAAAGGAAACTCGCATGGATTGTGGGTACAGCCGTCCAACCCGCATCAGCAAAGACTGCAAGCGAGATCCCGTGTTGGGTTCTTGCATCCGTTGTTGGATCAATTGGATCATGGCATGTTCTGATTTTTAGGGTGGTCGCGAGATCTTGCAGTGTTTGGTGGCACCGGTGCTGCTGCCGTGGTTGCTCAATGTTGCGTAACAGTTCCTGATGCCGGGGATTGTATCTGCTTGTTTGTTGTGGCATATTTTGCATGTTTACATGGCCTCGCATCCGGACACTTTCGGGGCTGGGGGAGTGCAGGGCAACGTACCGGAATGCATGCCCGGATGGAGGATCAAGCTGAAACATGCAATTGGCAAACGGTGACGGCACTACCACTCTTGTATGGCTGCGGAACTTTTGACACCCTGTGGTAGCCATAAAGGTTTTCCGGCTGAACGAGTTTCCTGTCTCAATGCCTTTGCCACCGGGTTACCGAGACAGGGTTAGACGAGATCCCTTTCCCGATATCCGGCCGACTGTCTAGCTTTCGTGGCTGCCTCTCAGTGTCATGCGCTCGGTGAGAGTTTGCACTGCAAGCCGAAAGTAGTCATGCCAGTAAGTTGCAGCGATTCCACGGGCGTGAGCTTCCTTGCTTTGCTGGCCCCTCTTATCTCTTATGTCCGCATCTCCTGTCACCTGACGGAGTTTTCAGGACAGTTTCCCCATCAAGCGAGGGAAGAAGTTCAGTGGTCTTCCGGTGCATTTTTGCACCTCCGATCAAGAAAGTATTCGACAATACCTCATGGAGATCAATGAGCAACTCTTCTGCAGTTGTGGAGAGGTTTGCTCTGTAGCGGTATATATGCATGTGTACGTAGAAAGGACTTGAAACTCATGCTAGTATATATCCCAGTCCGTAGACATCTACTCCAGCACGAGGTTTCCCTTCTCATCATGCCCCTCCATGTTGCAATTAATGGCCAATTCTCTCATGGTTACGGGAAGCATGTAGCCCTATCATTTGAGTTTGAAGCCTATTGCTGCGAAGGTATAAGCAGATCATTGACACGGACGAAGAGGAGAGATCCACCAAGCGCGGCTCAGTTTTCCTGTTTGTCGCTGCTGCAGGACGTCTTCTACACGATCGAGTGCAGAATCCTTGGTCGCCTGGGCGGGATCCTTTCAGTCTGGCTTTACGTCGGCATTCAGGACCGGCCAAGGTGCTGCGTCTTGCCAGCAAACAACAGCAGGCAGCGCTGACTTGTTGAAGGAGCCTCAGAGAGAAACCGATTTCGATGAGGAGTTGTGACTCGCAATTGCATGATGCCGACGCGTAAAACTCGCGCGGCTCCACAACGTTAATGACCTGTCAAAGTGCTTGAATGTGCTCCGAGGAATTGAATTGCCTCCATTTTTCAGCATGTTAGCACGGAGCGACGCCGATGCTTCCATCTTTTATTGTTGGTCGCATCCTGTACAGAGTGGAGTCAGGTGGAATGAGTGGGTGTGCAAGTTAGCTCGCTGTCACCAGCATGCCAATGAAAACTGACGAGAACAGCCAGTTCTTGCATCACCCGCAGGAGGCCCACATGAGGCCCATCCGGTTGCTGGCAAGTCAGCTACATTGAAAAAGATGACAAGTTTGTGCAACTGCCGCTGCAGAGTAGTAGTAGTAGTAGTAGTAGTAGTAGTAGTAGTAGTAGGAGTAGTAGTAGTAGTAGTGGTAGTGGTAGTGGTAGTGGTAGTGGTAGTAGTAGTAGTAGTAGTAGTAGTAGTAGTAGAAGTAGTAGTAAAGGAAGTAGAAGTAGTTGTAGTAGTAGTAGTAGTAGTAGTAGTAGTAGTAGTAGTAGGCGACAGCCTGCTCCTGTGACCCCCCTCTCGCCTCTTTTGTCGCATGCGGCAACCGTTTCCGCGCATCTGTCCCTGCGCCAATGCACATTGCTTTGTTGCCCGGCTTGTTCCTATTACATAAAGCTTTCTTCTTACATTGGGTTTTCCGGTTAGATAGTGTTTTACTATTAAATAGGGCTTTACTATTGGATGGGTTTTACTTCTAGATAGGGTTTTATTTACTACTTGATAGGGTTTTACTATTGGATTGGGTCTTCCTATTAGATAGGGTTTTAATGTTAGATACGGTTTTCCTATTAGACAGGGGCTTACTATTCGATTGGGTTTTCCTCTGACACAATGGTGGAAGGAGTTCGCTTTTAAAATGGCTTGGCTTGGCTTGGTTTGGCTTGGCTTGGCTTGGCTTGGCTTTGGTAGTCGTCCCGCCTACCCTCTAAAGTAGCAGTAGCTCCTGAGGCTACAGTAGCATAGTACTCCACTGCCTGCCCCTCTACAGTCGTGGTAGTAGTAGTACTCCACCGCCTGCCCCCCTAAAATAGTAGTGGTAGTCGCCCGCCTGCTCCTCTAAAGTAGTAGTAGTCGCCCGTCTGCTCTTCTGAACTAGGAGTAGTAGCAGTAGTAGTAGTAGTAGTCGTCGTCGTCGCCGGCCGGCTCCTCTAAAGTGGTCGTAATTCTCAGCTTCTTGGTGCTGTAGGGCCAGATAAGGGGGTCACAGGAGCAGGCTGTCGGCTAGTAGTAGTAGCAGTAGAAGTAGAAGTAGAAGTAGAAGTAGAAGTAGTAGTAGTAGTAGTAGCAGTAGTTGTAGCAGTAACAGTAGTAGTAGTAGTAGTAGTAGTAGTAGTAGTAGTAGTAGTAGTCGTCGTCGTCGTCGTTGTCGTAGTTGCACTTTTCACGAAAGGAAGCTCAGTTTTCGTCTACCATCTCACTACCTAGGCCAAAAAGCGTGCAGGACCTTGTCCGCTCCTTTCTCAATAGTCAGATTGATTCAGAGCCAGCACGGAGAGGACCCCCCTGTGCTTCGGACGCTCAACGTCCATTTGACGCAAGACTGCTTTTACATATCGTTACATGGTGTATCATACAGTTGTGCCTTCAGCGCCTTCGCGCCCTCAGTCCCTCCACACGCCCTCCACACCCTCAGCGTTTGGGCGCCTTGGCGTCCTCCGCAGCGCCCCAGTGGCGACTAGGATGGTGGCAACAGACCTCAAACGCCAAGCTTCAGAGCGGCCTTAGGACCTTAGGAAATTGGTGTTTGGCTTTACAGGTTTGGTGCCTGCATCCGGAAAGCCCAAACCAGGGCTGGCGCTCAGGATGGCATATCGAAAACTTGCAGGAGTTTAGGCGTTAGGGAAAAACGTTTGCTACGGAGTCTCGTATGAAACCCTGTAAACGAAAAAGCGACAGGAAGTTTTCCAAAAGCCGTTTCAACTTTCGGAAACGTCTTGAGACCCTGACAGCCTAAAACCCTCCCGAAACTGGAAGCTGCTCGGCTCTACCCGGCTGAAAGCTTTTTCCCGAATGCTCTGCAGAAGGGTTCCCGTTTAAAAGGTTGGGGTCCAGGGGTCCAGCAGTTGACCAGCGACCGTGGTTAAAGCGTCCGCGAAGCGTTCGCAAGCGTCCGCAAGCGTTCGCAAGCGTCCACAAGCGTTCGCAAGCGTCCGCCAGCGTTCGCAAGCGCCCGCGTGTGACGCGAGGTGTGTCGCGCAGCGCTGTTAAGGGGAAGCTCCACAGAACGCGCGTCCGGACTGCGTTCTGAATCCGCCAAGCCAGGGGGAAACTCCACAGAACGCGCGCGTCCCGAGAAGTGTCGCGCAGTGCTGTTAAGGGGAAACTCCACAGAACGCGCGTCCCGAATCCGCCAAGCTAAGGGGAAACTCCACAGAACGCGCGCCGCCAAGCTAAGGGGAAACTCCACAGAACACGTGTCCGGACTGCGTGCTGAATCCGCCAAGCTAAGGGGAAACTCCACAGAACGCAGCGTTCTGAATCCGCCAAGCTAAGGGGAAATTTCACAGAACGCGCGCGTCCCGAGAAGTGTCGCGCAGTGCTGTTAAGGGGAAACATGCTGAATCCGCTAAGCTAAGGGGAAACTCCACAGAACGCAGCGTTCTGAATCCGCCAAGCTAAGGGGAAACTCACAGAACGCGCGCGTCCCGAGAAGTGTCGCGCAGTGCTGTTAAGGGGAAGCTCCACAGAACGCGCGTCCCGCATCCGCCAAGCTAAGGGGAAACTCCACAGAACCCAGCGTTCTGAATTCGCCAAGCTAAGGGGAAACTCCACAGAGCGCGCGCGTCCCGAGAAGTGTCGCGCAGTGCTGTTAAGGGGAAACTCCACAGAACGCGCGTCCCGAAACCACCAAGCTAAGGGGAAACTCCACAGAACGCGCGCCGCCAAGCTAAGGGGAAACTCCGCAGAATGCGTGTCCGGACTGCGTGCTGAATCCGCCAAGCTAAGGGGAAACTCCACAGAACGCAGCGTTCTGAATCCGCCAAGCTAAGGGGAAACTTCACAGAACGCGCGCGTCCCGAGAAGTGTCGCGCAGTGCTGTTAAGGGGAAACGTGCTGAATCCGCCAAGCTAAGGGGAAACTCCACAGAACGCAGCGTTCTGAATCCACAGCGCGTGTCCGGACTGCGTGCTAGGGAAACTCCACAGAACGCAGCGTTCTGAATCCGCCAAGCTAAGGGGAAACTCCACAGAACGCGCGCGTCCCGAGAAGTGTCGCGCAGTGCTGTTAAGGGGAAACGTGCTGAATCCGCCAAGCTAACGGGAAACTCCACAGAACGCAGCGTTCTGAATCCGCCAAGCCAAGGGGAAACTCACAGAACGCGCGCGTCCCGAGAAGTGTCGCGCAGTGCTGTTAAGGGGAAGCTCCACAGAACGCGCGTCCCGCATCCGCCAAGCTAAGGGGAAACTCCACAGTAGTGTCGCGCAGTGCTGTTAAGGGGAAACTCCGCAGAACGCCACAGAACGCGAGCGTCCCGAGAAGTGTCGCGCAGTGCTGTTAAGGGGAAACTCCGCAGAACGCGCGTCCCGACTTCGTTCTGAATCCGCCAAGGTGGGCTTGTGAAGCACCTCTGCGGAAAAAAAAAGAAGCCAACTCGCACTGGCTAGGTTTCTTTTAAATCTTTCAAGCAGTCAAAAAAACGGCCCTATAGGGGATGCGATATATGCGTTACGCGTGTCTGCATTCGGGTTCGTGGCCCCTATCTGGTTTTGAGGATCTGGGTTTTGGGTTCTGGGCCTGCGGGATATGATTTAGACTCGGGGCTTCAAAGCTTCAGGGTGTTAGTTCGGGCGTTAGGGTTTTCGGATCTTTTGAGCTCTGGGCATTGATTGGGGCTTGAGGTGTCAAGGTTGAGGTGCAGGGTTTGCTCCGGACGAGAGAGTATAGGAGTGAACCATGATGCGTTTATTTGGCACGCATGAACAGTGTGCCTATGCTATTAATGTAAGTCCTTGACATTGATAATCGGATGACGGTTTTGAGGTATAGAGACATCGGAAGAAGACAGAGCATCATGTAATAACGACCGAGCTCTATCGACGCTTTTTCCTTTTTTTGCCTTAGTTTTCGTGGCCTTTTCTCAGGTTTCGTTGTGCTTGCAACTAGCTCTGTTCAGACACTCAGCCATGGCTATTCTGCAACTTGAGACCTGGCAGAGTTTAGGCGTCTAGAGTCTTACTTGTAGAGGTCCTCTGAAAACCGCTCACAAGTAATGGTGAGACCAAATTGAAATAACATCGACTACCGTCACCGATGGCGACACCTCCCAGAAGCTGGGCATTCCATGCCCGACGCAGGAGGAGCTACTCGTACAGCCACCGAGTCATCGAGGCAGTTCGGCCTTGGAAGGAGAGACTTCCCGGCCATCTTGGCCACAGTATGTGGCAGCCTGGGCGAAGGCGCTTGAGAAAGCCTGGCATGGCCTGGCCATGTTCATGGACCCCGCTCAGGCAGATGTTGCCATCCCCTCCGAGGATCGCCGATCCATATACACAGCCACGGCCAAGACCTTAAGTTCCATTGTCGCTCGCCTCGCCATGTCGCTGCCGTTACCAGGAGCTTTGTTTTTGGATTGAGGTCCTCCAGAACACTTTGCACATCGCATCTTATGATGGGCTTCGGCCAAACACAGTGCAGGACCTGTTGCTTCAAGTCGTGTTGGACAGTGCTGCCTATCCGGTTTGCAACAGGCAAAGGGTTGGATCGTTGGATGCTTAAATATGCTAAAGGTACAGCACGTGATTTACACAAAGCCCGTGGTACTGGGCCATCCTTGCTGTGCGCTTCTGTTCGCAGAGTTTTCAAGTCTCACGGTGTGCAGGCCTTCCCCTTTTGTATATCCAGCTGCCGTCGCATGCTTTCAAATCTGCGATTGGTCCACGGCCTGGGCTTGGTCTCGACGTTATTGTAATCTGATGTGGTGCATGAGGGATCTTTGTGCTGCACAGCTCAAGTCTTTGAGGTCCTGCAGGATAGGGGAGGAGGTTCGGTCCTTGAACTACACCGTTTACGGTCAGTATGAACACAAACAAACAGCGCCTGGTGCATTGACCGGCAGAATCCACTAGACATATGAATCTCACGAGAAGCGTAAACGCCTCAGAGATAAATCAAGGCTATGGCATCAGCAAGCCTTCACACAAGGACCGCGCGGCCCGACAAATGGCTGCCACATAGCGGACATGAGCACTGACAGCAGAATGATTATTCGGCACGAGATGAGTCCACCGCAGCAGCTCAGCATCGCCAAACTGTGGAATGCATTGCAAGCTTAGGCGCTCCAACCAGGTGTGGCGCTGAGTGTCAAACAACGGACACACGCGAATGGCATGCAGCAACGTACTACGAGGAGCACCGCAGAGGCACTCGTGACCATGCCGTTGAGCGTGCCGGGCAATTCTGCCATCCTGAAGGGGATGATGATCACAGCATTCTAATGTCCACTCCCGAAGCAAGCACGACGGGAGCCGTCAGAAATGAAGATGCTTGCTTCCATGCCACGCGGCTGAAACACAGTATAGTCTGCGAGGGACGGCAGTGCCATCAGTTCCTCACGATACCGTGCGTGAGTACGTTGCAGCAGCACCTGACGCACGGCATGCCGACTCCAATGATGCTACCTGCCTTGCTTCACCGACAGGCACGAGGCTCCAAGACCGGCGGGAAACACCATGTGCCCACGAACCCGGGCGCTGCAAAGCAAAGTTGAAGACCCGCGCTGCGAGGCTGCGACGAGCACCAGGAGAATCAACAGTAGCCAAGCGCTCGAACAGACCAAATTGCAATCGTTGCACATCAAACATGTAAGGCAAGGTAACCAGCCAAGTTCACATAGAACTGCCGCGCTCGGTGCACCGCCGGGCCAGTGCAGCAATCGACGTCCCCACTGACGAAGCTTTTGGTCCAAACGATACTTGCCCAGAATCAAGAAAATGTGCTCCATAAAGCATAGCAGGCAAAACGTACGTTTGGAACAACTGGCTACGGAATCCTGTGTGTAACTGGCGGTTCAAAGCCCAACCAAGGAATTGGTGGAATCTGCGACTCCCAGTGTCCATAAGACGAGCTGCGTGCTGATGCCTCAAATGTCACCCCCAAATAGGTGTACCTGCGTGCACAAAGCAACAAAGAGCCTGGAAGCATGAAACGATAATCAGCCGACCTTGAGCCGACAACCATGACAGCTGACTTGGCCGACGCCGAAAACGAAAAACGCCACTGAGAGCCCCAAGCCCCTGTTGCATTCAACGCTCTCTGAAGCTGACCAGCGTCCTCAGCCAAGATCACCAAGTCATCAGCAGAGAGTAGGAGTGCAACACGAGGAGTATTTGAAGCATGGCGGTCGGTGCTCAGTGATGATACACCCGGGCACACGGCACGGATAGCATCCGCGATGCCATTAAACATAATGTTGAATAGCAGAGGGCTAAGGACGCTGCCAGGCGAACACCGGCAGATTCCGCCCAGGGCGAAGAGGTGGAACCATTGACAACTACCCGTGCGCTAGTATCAAGCAGGAGATCTGCGATAACGGACCACAAAGAGCCACTTATCCCAAACTCTGCGAGTTTGCGCAGAGCGGCGTCCCTCCAAGCTACATCGAAGGCCTTCCGCACATCAACGAAGGCGCAGATGGGCACGACGACCAGCACGCAGCTTCAACGTCTCTGCCAACGTGTAAATTTGCTCTTCGGCACCCCACCTGAAGCCGGCTTGGCTTTCATCAAGTTGCGGGTCGACTCTGCAACAATCGCGCCAACAGAAGACGTTCAAAGGGACGGTAGGTGTTAAACTCGTCTACAGGGCCCATCTTGTGCAGAAGACGCACCCGAGCTGAACGAGAGACTGCTTTCGGAATCTGGGATGTTTGTCAAAGGCAGACGGGCATCAGAGTTGGGCTTCATATTGCAAGATTCGACGGCATGGGATGCCGTGCTTGGGTGTCCTTGCCTGTCTCTATGTTGAAAATCGCTGCCTGGTGGGCGGCAACCCTATGGGCTATTTCGGACCACCTTATCGCCTGCAACCTCCGTGTTGATTTGAACCGGGTGACTTGTTTTACACGTCCTCTGCTGCCACTCACAGGGACGTGGTGGTTCGCAGGATTTGTTTCAACACTCCGGCGGTAACACAAATGAGTACATATGTGTATTTTCACATGTGCTCTATATATATATATATATATATGTATGTATGTATCCAGCGAAAAGAATTCAGCAAGCCCGTTGCTTCCTTTTTCTAATCTCAAACAGAACAGAACAGTCGGTGTTCTATGGAGCAGAATGAGATAAAGGCTTTCTCATGTTGAGCTCGACAGACTCTTTATCAGATGTCAGGTAATATTTCACAGTCTCTGTACTTCTGCATGTCGGGGTTTCCCGAAGTCTCTGCGCGCGTAGATACGGACGTCTTGTCCGCGCATCGGCATGCTTGTACATGCATGCATATTCTCCACGTGCTTACTCGAGACTACCCTGGGTTGTGTGTATTTACGTATGTTTACCGACTCAGAGAAGTGCGGGCAAGATGTGAGGAAACTGCCTTCTGCTTTGTCATAAGTGCAATCGACCGCATACATTCCATAGTTCCAGAATCCCACGATGTGGGATTGCGGAATGAGGGACACGAAGGTGACATTTTCTTTGTGGGCCTGTGATGGCCTGTGCGATTGCGGAATGTGACTGTTCGTTGGATGGTGGTACTGCGTTTTTGTGCATTTTTTGTGCATCTATAACCCTACAAACCCAGGGCTGTATCGTAGTATGAAGTGGATTCCCCGGAGTAGTTCTATGCACACATATACACAGTGACGAAACACTTCATAAATGTCTGTATGTGTATATGTAGAGGTATATGTGCATGTACATGGATGTGTATGTATCTATGTCTGTGCATGTCTGTGTATGTGTATCTGTATGTGGCTGCGTGTGTTCGCATATGCAAACATGCACGTCCCCGACGTGCCGATGTACCTCTCCTCACGGTGTACTTAGTGAGATTTGGATAAGAGGCAGAACGCGATTAGACGAGCTCGCATCGTGCCATCGTGTCTCATAGCGTCTCATAGCGTCTCGGAAACGAGATGCCATCACTACCGCCAGCTCCTGCTCTCGCCAGGTGTCGTTTGTCCGCAAGCAACAAGGCACTTCGCTCCACAAGCAGTTAGGGCAATCTGCACAGGCAGGGACCACAAGTAGCACAACGTCCGCCTCTGGGAGGGCGTGTGCCATGAGTTTCGATTTTCTTTCAGCTCGGGCAGCCAGCCCGTTTTCTCTGATCCCCGCAACGAACTATCCAGAGCTCCTCTGGTCCGGTGGTCACCGGAAGGTTTAATCCATGCTGCATTTAGGGTGGTTCTTGAAACAGTCCCTCCTGGTCTTTTCGGAAGTGCTTGAGCGAAGTGAGCGAAGTCCACGAGATTCGCCTGACTTTCAGGACAGCAACGGCACCGACCCTGCCTCAGCACATTGTGAATACAGGTCTAGACTAGGTAGCAGAGCAAGCAGAAGTGCATCCGACGAGGGAGGCGCGCCGATGTCCGCCACAGCCGTTCAGGCCAAGGCTTCGCCTCTGCGAGGCGGCACGGGAAGGCCGTCCCCCGGCTGTCGCCGCTGCCCCATCGCTGCTCCCGGTGCGGCGACACTGTGTTGCTGTTTCGGACCGCGCCTTTGTGCGCCGTTGCAGTCTGTCCTTTTTGTGTTCTTGGCACGGCATTTGGCCTCCTTGGGCCGCATCTCTTGATGCGTCGGCAGGCCGCTTCTTTGTTTGTGCACTCTTGGCATCCATTGGCCCGGGACAGCTTCAACGCTGGTCAATCCTGGGCCTGCACGATTGGTTTGGCATAGTTGATGTTGCAGTCTGTCCTTCCTTCTGTTTCTTAAGCTAAAGGGTGTGCGGCATGGTGCTCATTCTCTCTTGGCGCCTGGCTCAATGCACGTCTCGAGCAGCTCTGCGATGCAAATGGGCGGGCTGCGGCTACTGCAGTTTGATGCAAATGGGCGGGCTGCGGCTACTGCAGTTTGCCATTCCTCCTCCTCCTCCTTCTCCCCCCCAGCACGACATGGAAGAATGTGTTTGTCAAGGACATATCTGGCTTGGCAGCACCTCCGCCACCAAAGAAGAAGAAGGCACAGCTCTGTTGCTTTTTCGGGGGCCCGGCACTAAGGAAGACGAGCCTCAAGGTCAAGAGTTGCAGCCATGAAAGGAGGAGGTGCCGGAGCTGGTACTAGGGCTAGTGGTAGTTGTAGTGCTAGTGGTAGTTGTCGTCATCGCTATGAACCAGAACATCAAAAGAAGCCCTATCACCAACACTAGTGGCAAGCCTGGACGAGCTTCGTCGACCTCGCTGGGTTGCTTCGCTCGCGCTGGTCGTGCTGTCTGACGGCGTTGAAGGGCATTTTGACCCAAAGGCTTCGAATGTCCGTAGAGCCGCGTGATCAATCCAGGAATCAGCATGTGTTCTCGCTCCACTAGTCCATGCGGATAAAAATACTGTCCGTTTCAATCTGGCCCACCCCCACGATTTTGGTACATGTGGACTGTGGTGGTTCCCTGCCACAAAGCAGAGTGAGCTCGGCTGAAGCACAATGTGGCCTGAAATGGAACCTTCTAGGAGCTCTTGCTTGCGGAAAAGTACCGTGGGCGTCCTCCGCCTTGAGCCAGTTGCAGGCTGATCTTCCTTTGAGCTTTGGCCGCGCACTGGCACCTCGGCCTTTGGCTCTGGTACTGGCATCGATTGAGGCCCCGACGGGCTTGGATGTTTAGCGAGTTCAGCACTGGTTTTACCGTGCCAGGTCCCTCGCGCAGCACACAGATTTGCTAGGATCATGAGCAAGTCGGCAGCTGCAGCCACGATAACCCACGATACTTGCCAAAGCAGCGTTGTACTGCACTCCAAGCCCTTTGCCAGGCTTCCGAGGTCTTGCTGGTCCTGCTGTCGTTTGGCCAGCTTTTAATGGTTAATGTTCAGCATCTTGGCATTGAGCCGGACACTCACAACAACGGAGGTGCAAGAGAGCATCGTGCAGGTTCCAAGATTGAGAGAGTAGCTTTCGCGGGCTGCAGGTCAATCTTGGGAGTGTTCCCCGAGGCTCGGCAACTCAGGGGCCCAAGTTGCGAAAGTCTTGCAATTGTGGTGCCTCTTCTTTCCGTTGTGGTCCATCGCAGTCATGCTCGAAGCCGTGCAGGTGAGCGACGACCATGGAGCCGGATCGGCGCTGTGTTTCATGCACGAGCTTGGATGGGCTGTCGTAGCGGCAGGCTCCAAGAACGATCCTGGCTTTGCGGCTCCTCTATCCTTCCTTGTGCGTGGTATTGGCATGGCAGGCTCAAAGCTTGGACTTGCAGAAATTTACCCTCCCGCGGCCGACAGCAGCTGTGTGGAAAGAGTGCTGGCTTCACAGATGCCACAGCAGGTTTTCACTGCTAGTTGAGGTAGCATTGGAAGCAGTCCCAAGGCATGCTGGTGCCAGCTTCGCCTTGCGTGTAGTGAGTCTAATGTAATTTTGAACTGCTGGCAGGCCTTTGACTTGCCAAAGGGCATGTCGGCTTCAATGGTGATGACGTATCCCGAGGCTTGGCAAGCCTTGCTTTGTGCCACTGCAGTGGATTCCTTCGTTCTCCAATGACAGGCCCTGTTGTGGTTATCGGGTTAGTTTCTTGGAGTCAAGTGAATATGCCGTATGCAGGAGCGTTCAATGATTTTGGTCGGCACTTCCACGGGCCACATGCTGCTCTACACAGGTCGGCAGCTGCTAAAAACAACCAGCATCTGCATTCTTTCCGAGGTGCTGTGGCATCCAAAGGGCAGGCCGACCAACTGCTTCTCCAACCCGCTTGTATAATCAACGCTGGTGCAGGCCCGACGGCTGAATCTGGTCTTGGCGCCTTCGCCATCAAATTATGCGCTGCATGCCGTCATCATGCATGTCGTAGGCTTTCCTGCTTGCGTGATGACAAGCAGCCTGTGAGGTGCAAACGCTCGACATCGCCGGTGCAGTGTCACCAAAAGGCCCGCCTAGCACCCTGCGCTCACGAGCGCGGCCCTCGGATAATCATACATTCGGACTGCCATCGATTTGACAACGCTTATTTGCTTGCTGACGCTCACTTTCTTTTTGATGGATTTTTAGTTTCCTTTTTGCTCCTTCGACTTTACATAGCCATTTCAACCCTCTGTTCTCCGATGGCGGGTGCTAACCTACGGCCGTTAACGGCGTTGCCTATTTCTGCACTAGTAGCATTACGAAGTGGGGCCACGTTTCCGTTTCTACTACTGTTTCTCCGTTGTATGTACGTACGTATGTATGTGCTCGAAAGACATACATACATATATGTATATATACACACACACACACATATCTTTCTCCCCCCGTGCCGTGCTTGACTTGAGGATGCCATCCGTCGTGTAATCTATGCCTTGATGCCCAGACTTAAACTGGGGACTTATCTGATCCGTGATGCGATGTGTGTTCTTATCATGTTGCTTTTCTAGCACTAGGCGATCTATGCGATCTCCAATTCGTTTCCTTCAGCAAGTTTGGCGGGCCCTTTGCTCCCAGGTGAGGCGAGATGCCGACCCTTCGGTCTAATGGTCCCCGGGTGCTGCCGTGCTTTTGGTGAGACGAGGGAAAATGCTCCACTGCACGAACACCTACCTGCACCAATTCAGGCATGCCTGCAGCTTCTGTCGGACCTGGTGGTGTTAAGATTGTTGCACCGGTTCGTTGTGGGAGCCGGCAGAGACATTGTGCCACTGATGTAGCTGAGCTTCGGCTGCGCGTGATCGTGGATGCTATCGCCAACTGCCGCGGCATCGTGACCTTGCGTTTTGCTGCTGTTGGCAGGCATGACGAACGCAACGGATACCATGTTTCGGGGGGAGCGAGCTGCTTGCTGGCAGGCACTGCTGGGCCCGGTGGTTATGTGGCTTCTGGGTGGTCGCCACCAAAATCTTCTGGATTGCTAGTAACATGACCCACTCACGACAACTCGCAGTTTAAAACGGGCAGGACCGTCACCACTGGCACCACGAAGTCTTTAAACTTTAACGGACCAGAATTACGCACAAACTTGCCCAGACCCAACGGAAGCGACTCTAGCGCCAACATTCCAATCACTTAAGCCGGCGTTTCACGCTATCAAAAAACCCACGAACAACGGCACCGACACCCACGGGGCGACCAACAACGAAAGGGCTCGGCAGGCGTCACCCATCGGCCAACACTGGAGGGACACGCTTGCCACGCTGCCAGTTCTCCAGTGCAGCGCTCTCCCCTACAAGACCGGGCTACTGTCCTCGACTGGTTTGCGTGTCGCTTGCCTGGTGTTGAAAAAATGCAAAATGCAGCGAGCTGGAGGGTTCCTCACCAACAAGTGTGCCAAAAGTTGTGTGAAAAATCATTCTCAATTGCCTGCGGCCGGCTCAGCTTGAGGAGACTGCAGAATAGTTTGGATGTGCAGAACAGCCCAAACCAGGGGCACCCGCCTTCGCTTGAGGCAGCGGGGTGAAATAGCACGAACGGAGGTACCAACCAGCACCTGCGGTTGGAGCACGAAGAAAAGGTAAGCAAAAGGCACGTAGCCGACCTAGCCTCTCTCAGAGCTATCAGTTTAGCAAGGAAGGGATTACGGCTGGGTTTGGCGGTCCGGCTCAACCAACTTTCTGTGGGATATGTGGCATAGTGTCCGTTGTTGAGCCATTGTGGCCCGTGATATCTAGGCATCGCCGGATCGCATTGAAGCATCGTGACATTGTGCCCTTCTGTCGCCGCTTTCCAGGTCGGGAGTTTTGTGAGGGGCCAAAGCTTTGCCTCGCCGCGAAGTGGCCGAGGCGCCGGAAGCCGTCGCCTTGAGGATTTCAGGCTTTGCGCGGCTCAGTACCTGCGAGGCGAAGGTGGGATCAGCGATGCCTTTGCTTCGGCAGCTGGCGAGGCAGTCTGCAGACTCTTGCTGAACACACTTGAGCCTATGGCCGTGCTGCAGGCCAGTGCAGATGGCATGCTGGTGGCTGCGGGCAGTCTTGGGAGTGGACCGGGAAGTATGTGAAGAACCCAGGTCTTGGCTTTCAAAGTCGTGATTCTCAAAAAGTCGCAATCCAGCCCGGTGCTTCAGACTGGGCATTTGGACGGCGATCGATGGCTTGAAGGCATTTCCGAAATGCATGGAGGTGCCCGGTGGGTGGCATTGCCCAGTCGTAGCATGTCGAAGGAAACTTTGAGTACAACGACACGCTCAAGGCAAGCATCAGCGGAACTGCTCCACCTGCGTGGGCCGGGCAAAAGTCCGTAACGAAATGCAATAGCAGCATAGCAGTCATGACTGAAACGTCTCGGCCCAGTCTTTCATAAACTGCACCATTGGACAGAAAGGTCGCCGGCAAGGTCTCCAAGCGCTGCCATGTGTGCGCCCAGGGTGGTACTGTAGCGAGTTGTATGCAGACTTTGGAGTCAGAACCCATGCCCAGAGGACACCTTCCTGACTTCCAAGGTTTCAACACTCGGCATCCGCCAAATGCTTGACAAAGATCCTGCGACTTGTCTTCATCCCGGCAAGCCGTGCAGGAGGCTGTCATTGACCGGGAAGCCCAAAATGTGGCATATCACGTCCGTAACAGGCAGTTGCTCGATCATCGTCTCCCTGGACGGCTTTGGTGATATTACATTGTGGATGGCAAGGCTGAAGCCAGCCTGAAACTTCAGCACAATTATGTTGTACAAGCTCTTGCGAGTTCGGCGAGTGAAGCGAGATATGAGTGGTAGGTGATGCGACGTCAACGTATGGTGGAACAGATCACATTCAGAAGGTTCTGGTAAATCCGGATTATACGTCAAACAGACAGTTCAGGCGCCTGGGCTTCCACGGCGTTGCATTTGGATGAGATAGCATTGGTTGCGTACAGTGGGCACTGCTCGGCGGGTGACCGTGACAAGTCTGCTCGAGTCGTGATGCCGCCTCCCAACAGAGCGCCAAAATCAGTTCGGGTTGTCCGAGAGCAAAAAATGGACACCATCTTGGTGTGACAATGGCATCGGTTCGAATCTTGTAATGGAGGCTCTTCGGACGGGGTAGACATGGTTTCTTGAATTTTTCGCCGACCTGGACTGCGAAATGATGCTGGATTCCTAGCACCCTGGCCGACGCATCCCAAGCAACAGGGCGGTTGCCCAAAGAAGATTGCGAAAGTCGTGTTCACACATTCAGAGCCTAACTCGTTGCCATGTTCCTGCGTTTCTTGGCGTTTCTTGGAGGCCTCCACCCCCGCCATCGAAAGGTGGATCAAAAAGCACTAAGCAGGGTCAAAACCATCTCATCTGGGCCAAGTAAAAACATAAACAGGATGCAGAAAAAGCCATTACGGCCCGCCTTTGTGCATACGGCGTGACAAAGCTGACAACGCGTTAACGGAAAGCAAGGACAAGGGCAGATCGAGCAGCGCCCTGACCTGCCGGGTGCCGGTGTCGGAGAGGGCTGGAAAAAAAGAGCGGATCGAGCGAAGTGCCCCTCACAAACAGTCTTCCCAACGCACGGCGACCTCGTCCTGTCAAGCGGAATTGCACTATTGTGCTGCGCTGTGAAAGCAAGCTGCATGGCCTTGGATCTATGTGCAGGTCTGACCAGCTGATGTCCCTTTCCCAGATCTGGTACATGTCAAAGCTCAGCATGGAATCTGGAAGGCATTGCTTCGTGTCGTGAGCCTGAGGCCCACCTGCATCGTTCCGGGGCGGTGCTCCTTTGAGGCTGGCTCAGGATCACAGGATCACTCAATCAAGGTAGCCTGGCCATCGAGTGGCATCCTGCAAACCCAGCCGCAGCTGGATGAGAAGACAGGGATCCGCAGCACAAGCGGTTCGGAACACTCTTCGGAACAGACCAGGCAATACTACCTGTACCATCATCTACGGACGATAGTTTCTGTTGCTCTAGACGCGCGTGTCAATATCTTGCTTTGAGCACTTTGCAGCCCGCACTCTTGTCTTCGGCTGCTTGCAGAACCTTTGGGTCGGTCTGCAAACGGCACGTGGAAGATCCCGAAGTCGGCAGGAGATTACACTCGCCCTTCCGCGTGTATCTTGACAGGTGGCGTCTGCTCGAAGCTTCGCCATTGCAGGGAAGCTTCCTTGGTCAGAGACCTAGTTGGGGCATGACATGCTGAGAGCGGCTGCTGAGGTCCCTCTACTTGCTGGTGGGCACAGGTTCGAGGAGTACAGCCGAGGCTTTCTTCGGATTTGCTTTGGTCCTTAGAGCATCGGACCGACCAGCACATGAGCTCTGCAGATCGGATGGTTGGACCTTGCCGCGCTGCTGGAGCTCGCTGCAAGCTCTGGTGCTGACCTGGTGCTTCCATATGCTGGCCGGATGCTCGGGGAATCCAGCAAATGTGGTTTGAGGCACCTCGTAGCAGTCGCAAGCATCTCTGGCGTCATGTGCTGCCTGGAGGGTATGCTGAGGATATGAGAGAAAGTGCGTGTGCGTGATCGAAACTGCAGGACACACACGCTGCTGCAGCCACAGTGCAGGTGGACATGACTCGGGGCTCAGCTTTAGCCAGCAAGCAGTTGGCAATCCTGCAGGTGGCGACACGTACTTTGTCAGCGGCACGTCTCTCCGCTACTACAAGGCTGGGTTTGGGCGCTCTGTTCATGCGAAGCATCAAAGGCGTCAAGACACGCGGCGACGTAAGGAGGATCGGATCCCCCCTTCTCAGGTCTCCACTGGCCGAACAGCTTCAATTGCCGTAACCACTGGATCCGAGGCATGGGCAGGGTATGGGCAGGGTTTGTTCACTGTTCCTCTTGTCACCATCTGCTTCCAGGATTGGCAGCTGCTGGCGGTGCTGGATGCTTTTGCCTTGGTTTTGGAGCCGAAACGACACAGAGGCAGCTGGTTTTGGTCCAGGAGCGTTCGTCTGGAAATGCCAACTATCTGCTTCTGCTGGTGCGCGAGGCACACTGTTCAGGAAAGGGTGAGAACTTGTGCTCCCCGGCCCCAGCCATCCCAGCCCCGCCTTGGCTCTTTCCAAACAGCAGACTGCATCCATTGCTGGAGGCATCCCTGAACGTGGTTTGGCTGATCAAAGCCGAGGCGGCTTGGTCTCCGGCTGAATCTGGCTTCATCTCTCCTATTGGGCTGCAGGGCGATCTGTTGGCACGGATCCCGGATGCCGTGCACGCGTGCTTTGGTGGAGCTCGAGTGGCCTGGCTTAGCAGGACAGGGCTGGGTGAGGGTCTTTCGACTCTTGACTGTACCCTCGACCTTTACGCTTCTCTTTGGGCTGGCTGCATCGGCTGTCCTGGTTGAACTTGTTCAGTTTTTTTGGCACGAATGGGACCTGCCAACCTGGCAGGAAGGATTCGAAGACTTGGTTTTGCTGCGCGGAAGTTGCCTCCGCAAGAGCTGGAGCATGTCTGAATGCGCTTTCATCTGTGGAAGCAGATGGAGTGGAGTGCTTGTCCGCAGCTAAGTTTGGGTCTCCTTTGTTCCTTCGTAATGATGTTGAAATCCGAGATGTAGTTTGCATGTAAAGACTGTTGCAAGGCTTGGCTGCCCTGGTTCCGACACACTGCGCGCAACTTTGCACAGTGGGTGCCAGCAGCATGCTGGCACCAGCGATCCGTAGCGCCCCTTCACAAAGGCTGTTCTGGGGAAGCCGCCTCTTGGGCGGCCCATTGCAGCTTGCGAATGCCTGGCCCCGTAGCGCAGCGGCGCGCAAAGCCACTTTTTTTGGGTGTCGCGTGGAAGTTTGCGCCTGGGCCCTGGGTCTCAGGCCAGCTCAGGCTCGGGCCCCGCGGGCCCTGCGTTGCCAACTTCGGGACCCTCGCAGCTCGTCGACCATCGATGGGCTTCTTGGCACTTAAAGCCAAGCTGCGTGTGGCACCTCGTTGCACAACCGTGCATCCAGGATGGTCCTTTCAAGCCTTCAGGCCGGGAATCACAATTTTCCGTGCGTCATTCTTACTGACTTACTGGTACCTCCCAGTTCTGAACACATGTCAACAAGCAACTGGATTGGGTGTATGTGTTTTGTTCGAGTTTTCCCCATGCAGGAGCCAATGTTCTTGGCCGCAGCTGCACAACCAAAAGCACCGGGGAACACGTTTATAAAGAAGAGCATTCCCTGTTGGTGAACAGCCAATCTTCTGGTTCCGAGCGCAGGGTGCTTTTTGCGCCTTCGGACGCAGGGAACAAATTTGTAATGAATGAGGGAATTCTCAAAAGTGAAGAAATCGGCCTGGCATACGACATCGATTATGTGCCCTGAACCTTGCTTACTGCTGTGGTGTCAGCGGCACGGGTCAGCAGCGGTAGAACTGCGGGTTCCAGCTTCCTCACGGTTCGGCATTGAAGGAATGTGGTAGGTTTTTAGCGTCCCACGTAGCCGTTTTCCTGATTGCGATACAGTCCCGTTGGAGAGTCGAGCACAAAAGCAATTTTTTGCAAGATGCATTAACACGAAAGGCCGGATAAAGAGGCTGATGTCCTGGAGACCGGGAGAAGGTTCAGACGCTTTTCCTGCTTGTGATCGGGGCCTCCGACGGGCCGACATTCTGCGATGAGGGTGTCGTGGGTCTCGAAAACGCCGGCATCCGACATCCTGGGCCTAAACTTTGCAATCGGGCTGTCATGGTCACTGATAATCTGGCCCCACAGCAGCCCGTCTCCAAACACGATTTGCGAGGCCACTCCAGAGCTTCTTCACAATGCTCAAGTTTTGGCTAGACATTCAAGTCCAGCCGGGTTGAAACTTTTGATGCTACTCGTGATCACTTTCGGTTGCACAGTATCCGGTACCTATGAGGCAAGATTTGCTTACAGTGCAGGGAGCACTCGCTTGAGAATCAGGGGGCCAAAACCAGCTTCAGTTTAAGCAGTTTACGCTCTGCTTTGGCCTTGCTTTCAGCACTGCCACTACAATTTGTGGCAGCGTCGGGAGGGCGAAAAGGTGCGAGGAAAAAAGGGCGCGGTAGCTAGCATGGGGTCTGGGCAGTGCCACGAGTGTGCAGAGCAGCATTCACCCTCGCCGACAACGCAGTCCGCTCGCTTCAACATTCAACAGAAACGTCGTCGATGATATCGGCATCGTTGTCGTTGTTGTCTTCGTCGTCTTCGTCGTTGTCTTCGTTTCTTTGTTTGTTGGTTTGCTTGCTTGCTGTTGGTGTTGTCGGTTATCGAAATCAACTTTGCCGGGAGGTACGCTTGGGCCGCCGGGTCGGATGGGTTTGCCGTGGGGCTTGAACCTGGCTGCTTTTTTTGGGCCCTTTCACACTTATCTTCGCGGGTGGAGGGGCACTTTAAAGTTTGGCCATGTCTCTCTGCCTCCCTTGCAGATCTTTTTTTGTTGATGTGCTGAAGAGGACTTCACAGGCGGCACGCATGCTTGCGTTGTTCGGCGTGCGTCTCAATCAGCGGATGCTCATGCATTACAGTGGCATGGTTTCAACTTCATCTACACACATAATGGCGGCGCTTTGTCACCGTTTTGGTATTCCCACTGGTCGCCGTTGACTTTTTCCAGGTTGTACCTCCACAGCTCACGGTCAACTTGGCATGCCTGCGTGCATATACCACAACGCAAACGCATGCAGCAAACAGGCTGAAATTAGGAGGTGTCTGTGTGTGTGTGTGTGTGTGCGTCTGTGTGCTTATCTGCCGATCACGCTACCCAAAAACTTTCCTGCCGTCCCAACCTTGGTTTCAATCCCGCATTGTTGCCCCTGAAGTGGTCGATGCATACGACAAGTTCAAAAGACAAATGATCCTGTGTGTCCACGTTCAACATCCTCAATACTGCGGTTTTTTGCAGTGGTGCAATCTCATCGCATGGTACCTGCCGAACAACTGTTCTGTGGCGGCACTACTTTGCCATATCTTTTTTCGCCTTGCGGTCTACTCCTTCGTGACGACAGTTTTCCATGTCTGTACGTGGTGAGTTTCTTCTGAGTAGCCACACCTTTTGGTGGCATGTCTTCGCCGTTGCCACAGCACGTTTTGCTGTGACACTTTCCATGACTCCGCGAAGGCGGTGGTGTGGTGGCATGTTAGGTGTACCTTTCATGTTTCCCTGCATGATGTTCTAAGTTAACCGGGCCATGTGGGCGCTTTACTGTGTAATTGTTCTCAGTGCAGAACAAATGCAGCAGGCTGCGGCTGTAGGGCACTGTAAGCACTTGTGTCTTATTAGCATGAGTGGTGCTGAGCATCCCGACCCTAGCCACCCTTGTCCCGATCTGACCCTTCGCTTCTTGTCTGGTTTGATTGAACGTGATTTTTATCTCCCAGCATTCCAATTGTGGGCGCTCCTGGGGGACTTGTGTTGAATTTCAGAGCACGAGAGAGGAGACAACAGCAACAACAACAACAAGAACAAGAACAAGAATAATAAAAAAAATCACCAGGAAGAGGCGACAGCAGCTTTCAATGTTTTCGTCCATGCATGCGAAGCCGTGCAGGCAGTTTCCTTGCGTTGGCGGCGCCTTTTACCATTTGGATCGTGCGCTTACGGCTGCTGGCAGGCCAGGTGCAAACACCATCACAATCACGATCACAACATGCACTTGTGCTTTGGCACCTTGCGCTTGTCGTGAGGTGACCCTTGCCTGGATTTGCAAAGATGGCTGGACTTGAGGGCCGCAGTTTCTGAGCAAGGGCGCGTTCTGTCTCTGGCATGGCTGAGAGCGGCTTAACTTGCACTACTAGAAAGCCTTGCTTTCTTCGGTTTGGTTTGCGTTGTGATTCCAGCAACACCGAGGCACCAGATACCAACTCCGCAGGCTGCATACTTTCGTTTGCACACTCGTTGAGTGAAGCTGTTCGTCAACAGCTAAACGTGTTAGGTGCCATCTTGATTTCGACTCCTTTCATTGTCTGCTCCTGCTGTGCAACAGCAGCTTCACCAGTGCGGGCGGTAATCTCAGCATGCTCAGATTATTGCTTCAGTGATCTGCTGCTGGTTCTCTGGTGACAGAGAGGGGGTTGCCACTATGGGTCTGGCACTTAAGGCACGTAAAGCGAACAAGAAGAAGGCAGTAAAGCCGAAATGGTCATCCGTCCCGTAGTGGGCTGCCAGCAGACGGATTCAACATTATCAAGCGATACCCGTGTATGATCTCCGCAGTGCCGCGATGCACACACAGAACGCAGCAAGTTAAGCTGCGAAGCTTGGGACTTCACTGTACTTCACTGGGTAGCGGGTCCGGCTCGGGTCATCATCAGAGCACCAAGTCCCATGCGGCTCATGCGGCGGCTCGGGGAATGGGGTGTGGGAGCCCAGGCCGAGGCATCCTTCGAGGGAAGATGCAAGGCTAGCGGCCGCTGCGAACATGTGCGAAAAGTTGTGCTAGCCATCGTTCTGTAGATGCGCGCCGATCCCAGGTTGTTGTTTCAGAGAGAGTGACGGCATGTTCCGGGATGGGGAGACAGAGCATGCGTTCCCCAGCATCATGCAGAAGAGAAGAAAGAGCGCCAGAGAGCAAGCCTCCAGAATCAACACCGGATGACATCGCATGTTTCTCGTCCTCGGATGTGCCGCATGACTGAGTTTCCACATCGAAAAACCTAAACCTAGTCTCACATCCTTAACATGTGGGTGCGCGCTAGGCCGCCTTCAATCGACCCAGGCATCAAGAAGACAGAGATAGAAAGACTTAGACACGCCAGTTGATGGAGCAAGGGTTGGTTCACTCTAACGCGCGTGTGTGTGTGTCTCCTGTGTTGATGCGCAATTTCTCTGGAGAGGCTGCAACATGATGCGGCTGCTCAGGTCGTAGCTTCATACGACAGACCTCAGCTACTGGCTTCATCGCTGCCAGACAGGCCTGTCGCATGCCCATTGCACACAAGTGTCGTTCGAGTACAGTGGCTTCACGGTGGGACAAGGCTGCTATCAGTGGAGCTTCAGACGGGCACTAGCCTCTTCGCTGGTCTCAGTCCGGGAGGCCATCACGTTTGCAACAGCTTCACGATCCATGACTACAAGTCATCATGTCGGCGGTTCATATATTGTTGGGGGCATATTGTCCTGGCCAGGAACTGGCTTTGCTGGCAAATCCCAGCCCGCAGCGAGACTCCGTGCCCGCATCAGGTGGGGACACGGAAGGGACGCATGACACGATGTTATGGCTGCCTTGTAGGCAAACGGCAAACATATATGTGTCGCACCATCTTGCAAGCTTGAAGGACACGCCCTGTCAACGTTTGGGAGGTGAGGCGCGGGGTTTGCTTTGCCCGGGAACGACTGCAGCTTGGGGGGAAGGTACTTGGCACTCTTCTGCGTGATGGTTCGTGGATGAACGAGGCGAATTCGACTGCTGTGGGAGCACAAAATAGCTCTGCAGTGCTGAAGTGCAGGTTGACTGGCGCTTAGCCCCGGCTGAGCTGCCGCAGGCAAGCTTCTGAGTCTACCACTAGCTGTCACGAGTTGGACTTGACCATGGAATGAACTGCCTCCACCTTTCGGCTTCTACTCACGCCTGTGTTTGCCTGCCTTTGTGCTCTTGCAACGCAACAAATGGAATGGCCACATGTCGTCCGTCCCCCGTCCACTCGCGGGAAGCCGCACGAAACGATGCCCTCCGCGGGCTTGAAGACCCAAACAAGGCCAGACATGAGGGAAAGGAGACACAGATGATCACAGATGCCTTTGTAGCCAGTCGGCTACTCCGAGGGTAAGTGCGGCGAACCCTTGTGCCGCCGGCAAGACGTGCCACCTAGATGGATGTGGACCAGGTGCAATCTGTAAACCAAGCAGTTGGCATTGTATTGCGAAGTTTCTTGTGCAGCTAAGAGGATGTCCGGAACCTTCGTCTTTTGAAGTGCACTGAGCGGGGGTTTGGACCATAGCAGTGGGGATGAAACCCTTGCACACCAGCCCGGATTCCGGTGGCCACAAAGTCTGAGCACGGAAGCTTGTAAAGGTGGCTCAAGCTGAAACTGAGAAAGCTCCAGTCGCAGGCGGACGGCATAGCTCGTGGATGATGTTTGCAATCGGCGGCAGCCGCCGACCAGCACATTCGGCACGTACTTCTCACGAATCTGACACTGCCTTTATGCCACCAATCTATGAGGATGCTATAGGATGCTGTATGTCCTTTCCGTACGTATTTTCGTTTGCCGATCTCAGGCGGTGATGTGCTGTTGAGTTCAATGACCAGTTGAGCTGCTGTCAACGCAGCCTATCTATCGTCCAGTGTGTATGCAGCTTCTGTAGCGTCCAACATCGCAAGACGTTTCTGCCGGAGCCTGCACTTGCTGCTGCTGTCCTTCCTTTCTGCTGTGTTACACTGACAAAGACACTGGCTTTGTTCCCAACGTTCCTACACGTGCCTTCGGTGCAGTTTCCAGACGACTGCAAGCAGCTTTGGCCAGCAGCTGTGTGTACCGAGGCTGCGCGGCTGCATGCAATGTGTGCACTTCGATCTTCCTAGGTTTTCAACAGCATTTCGCGAGGCTCCTCCTCAGTTGAGAGATGCCGCGGGAGCAGTTCTTCGATTGGCTGCCAGTGCAACTTGGCAATATGCGCTGCTGCTCCTGCCCCAAATCCTGCACCGGCCAGCTGACCCGTCTCGATACCTTCCCGCGAGAAGCTTCAGCCTGGAAAGCCTGAATACATCAAACCATCAAGCGCTTCTACACGCTCAGAGGCCCTGTAGATGCCCTGAAGCCCGAACCCTCCATCGATTTCCGACACCCAGCGTCATGATGCGTCATGTCGCTAGTTGGGAGCTCATAAGCTCATCAGCGCAAGGCACATGACGAATTTCGAGCTCTAGCGGCAATTCTTTGCGGCCTCAGCTCCCGCCGAGGCACCGGATGACGGAGCTGTTTGCTATGTTTTCAGCATGTCCCGAGAGGTGGAAGTGGTGATGCGGCTCCTGCGACTCCTCGGGAAAGGTACTCCTTGATCGTGAGCCGAAAGTGTTGAGACTGAGGCTCGGGTGGCAGCTCAAATTGAAGATACCTTGCACCGCTTGTGGCCCGCACCTCAGTATTGCTACAACTTTACGACTCTCCGTCACCCACCTTTGCACCCTGCTGACTTCCGCGACTCCATTCATAGTTGCGTTTTGACCATTTATTCCATCATCCTGAGGAGTACTCCCTCTCGCAGCCCCATGGTGGCCACTGCAAGCTCCTGCCTGGTGGTTTGTTCCGCCCAACAAGGACCAGAAAAGCAGTCGAAACCCGCGCAACCAGATAGGAACAACTCCCACAGCTCTCAAGTCATTGTCAGAGGAACTGCCAAGTCAGAATCTTTGGCAGGGACCTAAGTTGTCTGCATAGCAAAAGTTGTATAAAAACCGTCTTGCGCATGCTTGCGCATGCTTGGCTTGCTCCTTAGGCTCTTGCCGGCAGCGGGCTCGTCAAGCACAGCATTTTGCCATTAGGCATTCTGGTTCTCGCGGCGGTGCGAAGTACCATGGCGGTGCGCGCGGCCTGTGTAGCTGACGCTGGTGGGCAGGTCCAGAGAGGAAAGAAAGTGCTGAAGAAGAGAGACAGAGAGGAAGACAGAGCTGTTCATTGTTGTGTCCGTGCCGAAAAGGGGAAGTCGGAAGCAGCCACCGGGACATTCTCCATTGTCTTCGTGATTAGAAGTACTTTCCCTCTGATGCCTTGCGGCCTCCGGGAAGACTTCCCGGCGGGAGTTCAAGCCCGGAGTACAGCTGGACACAGGCTAAGTCCTAAGTGGCAGCTTCAACTTGGCGACACTTGCTGAAACCCCAGCCCATCACCGACGATTTGTTTCTTTGTTGCCTTGCCTGGTCTCAGTTGTTTCTACAGAGTGCATGGCAAAAGAGGTGGAGTGGCTGCGACGGTTTGCTGACATGCAGCAGTCATGTTAGCTGCCGATTCCCAGCTGATGATGGGTTCAAAAAGAGTGCATGGCAGGCAGCGCGGTCGTTTTCGGCCTCGGCCATTCTAAGTCCCGAGATGCTGCGGCCAACGGCAGTGCAGGCGCCTCGCTTTCAACTGCATCAGGGTTGGCTCTGTGCAAGGATTGACGGATGCCGACAAATTCGCACGCCAGTTTAAAGCCGCAGGAGCCAAGACCCCTGTTTCTGTCCTGAACCCATTAAGACGGCCTAATGGTTCAGATCAGAATTCACCAGCTGAAGGACTGGGGACAGAACTCTAGGTATTGCCTGGGCTTGGGCCTTCGAGGGCGTGTGTGCTGTGAGCATTGTCGATGAGATTATGCAACCATCAACATTTTGCATCTGCTGCTGCGTGGAGGCACTGGCTGCAGAGTTCCACTGGTCCGACACGTTTCAGGGCCGTGCACCACTCGCAGAGGCCTGCAAAGTTGGCTCGACACGTGCTTGTCCTGATACCGAAGACGTCAAACAGCATGCTTTGCCAGGCGCTCGTGGAAAAGGCGCGGGGGTGCAGTCTTGCAGTTCCTTCTAAGGATTCAGCCGGAGAAAGCAGGCTGCAATCCATCCGTCTCCACACTCTAAAGGGCTTGCACGAGATCTGCCGGCATCGGTGAAGCTCTCAGACAGGTTCTGCTACTCGATTTCAAGAGGGTTCGCCGGCGGGACCTTGCTCGAGGCCATTCTGGAGCAGCCCTTCGGTGATGTGCCGCCGTTGCGAAAACCCCCGCAGGCACAGACCTCAGATAGCGGCGCAAATCGGCAGAATGTCAGAGCGCACTGCGATGGCCTGCGTCGTCCTGTGTTTTTTTGAGGCTTGTCCCCTACACACGGCGACGATCTTGCAATGGCTGGGGCTCGGGTCCACGCAGGAGCGGCCCGCAGCTTCCACTTGTGACCGCTGTCTGTCTCTCCACGCCGCATCAACGGTCGGATCACGCAGACGAGTGCACTGGTGGCCAGCTGGCGGCTGCTCCCCTTCCAGGGAGCAGCATGAACACTCCAGGTAAAGCAGCACAGCTCACCACCGACTCTGTGAAATCCAACAAAATATGGGAAGTGATGGAAGGAACACTCGGTGAATGTGCTTCACCAGGCTGATGGCATGATTGCAGATATGAGGCGGACGGTATTGTACAGAAGGCACCAAAGCGGTCGCCAGCCCCGGTAATGGTGGGTTTCCTGCGAACATCGAAGTGGCAACTGCTCCGAGCAACCAGCGACCATCGTTCACTCGAGGAAACAAGCGCACACAAGATCTCTACTGAAGGCAGACGTGCTGAGCAGTGCCGGGATGTGGTGGATACAGAGCCCTGAAAGCAGAAGCCTAGTCAGTAAAAGGAGGTCATCGATCCCCGGAGTAAAACGAATCAATCGGCCATAGCCTGCTACAGGTGCAGGTGCGCTCCTTCAAGGTGCGTTGTTGCAGAGACAACTCTGTGCTGAGTCGCATGGGCCATCACGCAACAGCCAGGCCATCCAGCAGGAAGCAGAGGAGAGTCCCAGCAGCGAAGAAAGTCCCGGGCGTGGGGACAGGCAGGAGTACGATATTGACTGGGACTGGTTTCGATTTGCTTCGCTTGCATTTCGGTCAGGGAGCCTGTGATGCTTTCCAGTGGGCTGCTGGTGTATTGGCGACCCGGTGGATTTCGACCCTCACTCCTCGTCCGGTCCTGTCTCGGCCTTCGAGGCGCTGCGCTGATGGCGAGGGCAGCTCCTTGCGGGATAGTGGTGGCTGCGGCCGACCAGGAGCCCTCCCGCGCAGCTGTCCTAGCTGCCCTAGTAGCTCATCTCCCAGTACAGAAGATCCCTCGTTGAACGGCCAAGGTGGAGGCAGCTGGCTAGGCCCCCTGAGCCCTGATGATCCTATGGAGCCAACAGACGAGCCGGCTACCTGGTTGCGTGCTGTTGCTCAGTTGCTTCTTTCATTTTGAAACAGGTGGGGGCAGGTGCTCTTACCCAACTTCGCCGTCCAGCTGAGCAAAGCTGAGCTCAAGCCTCGAGTTTTGCAGCGTGTGCTTGCAAGACGGCGTGCCGGAACGCGGCTTAGGCTAAGCTATACTGCTTCCAGCATCAGCGATCGCCAGCAGTTTCGAACTGAGCGACATACTCGAACGCCAAAGACAAGACTCGTGCACAAGCAGAGTGAGGAGATGTTTGACTTATACTGGGGCCTAAGGCTCGCCCTTGTTGGCGGTGCACGAGGTCGAGAGCAGGTGCCGTCTTCCAGAAACATAGAAGCTTCTGTCTTGGAGACCCCGAACCCCTCTGCTTTCGAAGCATTCGAACGGGGACAGCTCACAGAGAAGAAGCTGCTCCAGACAGATCCAGATCCGGGGGGGCTTGGGGACCTTCCTTCAAAGCACAACTTCAAGGCTCAGTGGCAAGTTGTCCTGCATGCTTCTGCGCCTCACAGAAGCGTGCTGCAAGCCGAGTGCCAGACGTGGCCGGGAACTTGATACAACCGAGGGCACCTCTCATCGCAGCGCTGCACCATTGGGCAATTGGAAACGATGTTCCAATGTGCGGTGGCTTCCCGGCGGCCGACAAAACTGCTACTGATGCGACATGCAAGCGATTGGCATGTTATGGGCAGGGGTGGCACTCGGTGGCACTTCGCACTCCAGCATGCCGCCAGCACGCCACGATGTCGGATCAGCCGGCCAGGCTCCAGGTCTGCATTGCCAGCACTGCCCACTCCGTTCAATTATGGGCTTTCCGAAGGTTTGCTACTCGCCGCTCCTTTCAGTATCAGTAGCCTGTAGATGAAGGATGAGGGCTTGGATGTTCATGGATAAGCTTGTGAAGAGCTGTAAGAGTACTGACTTGGCTTGGGCTCAGTTTAGATTCTTGCCGTGCACGGGTCCGGTGGTGGCTTGGTTTGGCTCTTGGGTAGAACACGGACTGTGCACGGCAAAAGCGGGACTTCGTGGTTGGGGAAAGGGTTCAGGGCCGCTCCTGGGTTTGGGTCGTCGTCCTTCATTTTGTGAGTTCTCTGTCCGTTGCAGTTTAACTATGAGGGAAGCCAGGTGAGATCAACCCGGCCCTGCAGCTTTCAAGTTGTACCACGGGGACATGCAGGGCACAGGTATGTGGGGTGCACGTTCTGTCACGGGGTTGCACTCCTGGCATGATGACTGCCAGACACCACCAGCATGTTGGATCATGCTGGTACCGCGGTAGTAGTCTGAGCAATTGGCAATTGGAATGGACGTCGGCATGGAGTTGGCATGTTTGTAGCTACGCCGTTTGGCAGTGCGTGGGGCGCACCGCGAACCCAGCGACATTAGTCGGCATTGCGTAGGCATTGCAGAGTTTAAAAGTTTAAAGGAAAAGATCCCGGAGAAGCTTGGCGGTGGCCCGCAAACTTGCCTGCGAAGATGTCGGCCTCGTGTTCGCGTTCCGGACATCACGGCCTGCGGCTTTTGGTTGCCAGCACTCACCGGCAGATTCCGGCACAACGACAAAGAAACAGGGAGAGGCATGACGGTGGCTAGATCGTGCCGCGACCGGGTGTGAAGAAAGTGTTGCACACGATTGTGCATCTTCGGCTCTTTGTGTTAAACAAGCCAGCCCCTCACTTCCAATGCTGCCGTACCCAACGAAGCTATGCATCAGAGAGGGAAACCATGTTTCATCAAACTCTTCTAGTACGGTGAGGATGCAGAAGGTATTCGTCTAGTGTTGGCATCGTTCGAGGCTCGACCGTCGTTTGTCGGTGAATATGTGTATGTGTGGCCACTCTGCAACATTGCACTTGGAGGAACGCGAGTTGCGATGCTTGAAACAGGCAGGTGGCCAGGAATCTGCTAATGTCTGTCTTGACCAACCAAGACCAGACACCACAGAGGTGCAAGCGCGCCTGCACCTGGTCGACCTAGGATCCTGTTCTACATTCCATGGGTCAGGGCCGGTCCGTTTGGAGTTAACACGATTTGGGTATGAGCTTCCGTGCCTTCGTGTGAACTTTGTGACCCTGCAGTGGCTTGCTTAGGAACTTTTCCTGCGCTGGTACGATCCTTGGTGACCACCGGGGCCTCCGAATGTGTCTCGGTTGCTGTCGGGTCTTGATGCGGCTTAAGTATGAACGTCGGTGCCTGGGTATGTGCCTCGATACCTGTTGAGGCTTCTGGGCCTCGGTACATGCCTCCGGGACTTTAGACTTGCTGTCTCTGGTATGAACTTGAGTGCGCTGATGACCTTTTGTGACTCGGCATATGTCTCGCTGCCTTTTGGGTCTTGGCGCGACTTGGGTATGTGATGAAGATCGGAGCAGTCGACTTCGATGAAGTTGTTTTGCCACGCCCAAACGATGACTGGGCTAGGACATGGACCACAGCCCACGACGACGCAGCCCACAACCCAGGTCGTTATCGTCTGCGAGATCTTCAAGCTCCGGCAACATATCGGAACACTCCACAATGTGTCTGTCTGCGTAAGCCCTGATGTTGAGCTGTACTATGGGTACCTGACATGACATGTTGTGGTTTCACAGCCAAAGGGACCACCCCATCACCGCCGCCGGTGGTCAAACCAAAAGGGTCGCATTCATCGCTGGTATCGGGGCTGATTACTCTCACGTACAGGCCGTGTTGAATGCTATTAATGGTCCCAGGCTAAGCCAAAAACTTCATCCATTCAAGCATGTTGTCTCGCACTCTTTCAAGCCGGCATCGTGTTGGATAGGCAATCAGGACCATCGCACACTTAGGATTCTTATCAGTGCGTTGAGGATATGAATGGGTCGCATGCGAGTTGCACTTCGATGAGCAAGATACCCATCTTTGCGTGTGTGTGCCTGCCGCGCTGTTTCGCGAGGGATCAGGTTTTCGGCCGGTTCGGGTTTGCCTGCTGCATACTACTATATAGGGCGTGCCTGCAAGCGACAGGAAAAACTCCTGTGCCGGTGTTGGACTTTGTGCATGTCTGTGTTGCCAGTTGCGTCTGGGAACGTATGCCCTTTGCCTTCCGGTTCTGTGCCCAGACCATAGCTCATGAAACAGCGGAGTGGTGTGGCAGCGGGTCATCCTTGGGCCAGAGATTTAATTTTGAAACAGTTTGCTGAACACAAGTTTTTGGGACGTCTGGGTTGCAAGCATGAAATGCGTGAAAATGGCAGACACCTCGGTGTCGGAAGCGGGCTGGGTTGGTCTTGTACAGCTTTTTTTCAAGCGAGTGTGGGTTGGCGAGCACACCCCTTACGGTTTCTGTTTGAGAGGGTTTGTGGGATTGGGGGTGCGAGTGGGGCGGGGCGGAGCTGTCACGGGTCATATTTTGTGGTGGCCCCACGTTTTGCACAGCCGGAGGTGCACAGCAACAACGACCACGGGGATGAGGCTCCCATCCCAGGGTGGACTGTGCGGGTCTCAGCACCCTTCGACGACACTATTCTCAATAAGCGAAGTTCCTGTGCCCAGGTCGAGCTTTGGCTGCGGCTGACCGCAAGCTCAGAGGAGGCAGCACTTCGGTGCCGAAGCTCCATTCAGTTTCTTTGTTCAGTGTTGACAGCAGGATCTTTGTGTTGTGCGACGTGGCCATGCTGAGCAGTACTGGTCACTACGTTACAGGCCCAGGCCGTGAGCAAAATGTCTACGTGCGTCCTGAGTTCAAGCGTAATGTAGTGGTGAATTTCCAGCAGTTTTGCTGCACACTGGTTTGTCTTGACCTCAGCTCCTGCAGTCGTCCTGGGTTCCTTCTCTCGGCTTCTGGGCAGTCTTCTCCGATCCTGGAAGGGGACTGTGCGGTGCCAAGGAGTTGTGAGACTCGCACCATGCACAGCGTGGACTGTCCAGCTTGTGAAGCACGAAGGTGAACCCCTCCCTGTCGGCGAGTGGATTCACATTGCCTTGAGGTCTGACTTGACCTTGTTGGAGGCTTGTGCCCAGAGATTGCAATGTCGTTGTCGTCACGCAATGTGCTCAAGTTGTCAAGGTGTGTCTGGATGGCCACGTGGCCATCAGTTCTACCAAAGCCTTGCCTCCTGCACCGCTGGAGGAGGGGTGGAGCTTCTGAACTGAGATGCACTCTTTATGCTAGCGCTGCTTGGGCGAGGCCAGCATTTCATTCGGTCCTGCTGCGCTGGATGTCACTGAGGCTCGGGGCGGCTTAGGCACAGATTCAACTTCAAACGGAACAGAGACGGGAGGCAGTGTCGGCAGGTTCGTTGTCACCAGCCTTACGCGGTCGTACCTCCGTCTTCGTGTCGGAGCATCTCCCTCTGCGAAAACCCATAAACTCTGCCCACTGCTCAACTCCGAAGCCGGAACATAGGCATGCGGTGTGCGGCACGCACTCTAAACCTCGAAGTCGTTTTGTGCAGATGGGAATTTAGCAGGTTCCAGCCTCCCGGCCAGGTACGTGTGTGGGGTGCCTACCGTTCTGACAACGACCTGCTGCAGTTTCAACGCCAATGCCTGGATACGGTGCTCAGTAGATCCTCGGCAGAACCTCCTGGCATCATTCATGATGTCTCCAGATTTCTTGTCTGCCATGGGTTGAGGTGAGCTTCGGGGCGAAGCGTGGAAGAAGGCTCACCAGTGTAATCCGAGCAGCACGGCCTGGTCCGATGATGAATGATGAATGGACCTCTTGCAGATAGCACGGTCCTTTGCAGAGTGTAGCAGCCTTCTTGAATTGTCGCTTGTCAATCATATTGGAGTTAGTGCATGCGCAGACATTCTAACGTAGTGGCATGTCAGAAGCACGTTGCAGTCCGCAGGTGAAGATTCGTGCTGCTGCGGGAGCTGCCACCGACCAAGGCTGGAAGCGGAAACCACAACAATTTCCATCTGTCCATCGTCTTTCAGGTGACAAATTCGGGTGAGAGCCTAAATTGCCACAAGGGTTATGCTAGCAACTGCAAATGACGAGACTGTCAATTGGTCGGCTGATTGTTGAGGCTCTGGGACATCTCCAATCTTCCGAACACTGGAGGATCTGTGTAGCGGAGCAACTTTCGCACAAAACGATTCTGCGCGGTGGTTCAGGTGGTCGCAGCAGAAAGACCGTGGAGGACCAGGCTGGACAGGCAACGTGGCTGCAGAGGCATTCGATGATGCCGCTTTGAAACGGCCAGTTCGAGGTGCAGACGGTTCAGAGCTCTTGGCCGACCGGCTTCGGAGGTCACTTGGCCTCCTGTGGTCCTTTACATTCGTAGAAGGGTTTCAACGTCCCTTCGAACAGTTGCAGGGAAGCCTTTTGCCCATCACGATTCACCTGTGACATCGTGTTGGAGTAGTGATGCTAAGCCAGAAATGCACCTGAGACATGTTGGAGCAGCCGTAGCTTTGCAGTGTGATCGTGCTGAGAGTGCCACAAGGCTCAAGAAGACTATTCCGCTTCTGAGAATGTCCTCCATGTTGGGTCTGTGAGTTTTGCTGATGGATGCCAGTCATTCATGCAGATGCGGCTCTTGATTTGCCTGGTAGTTCCGAGCAGCCGAGTGAAAGGTTTTGACTCTCCGTCGCTGGGCGTGTGGCCGCAAGCGGCTGACGCTGCTTTGGCAGACGGTGCTGGTTTCGATGCGCTGAAGCTCAGACTCTGCTCGCATGAAGTCTCTGACTGACTAATGCTTTAAGGGCTCCTGGCCTGGCCTTGACCCAGACACTCAAGGCCAGCTGTGCGCTTTGAATCTGAGGAAGGGGGAGGGGTCGGAAGGTCCAGGCGGTCCTAGGACGAACCCATCGCACGGCGGTTTGGTTGGCCCCGAGTCGAAAAGGCTAATTTGCATGTTGAGACGCTGGAGATATCACGCCCTGTCCTGTGCACCGGCACTGCAGTGAGACACTGTATACACCTCCGGAGCAGGGACTGTTGCTTTCTGAAGTTACTTATGAAAGCCTGCCCAGCTCCCCAAGATTCCCCGCTCCAGCAGAGAAATACCAAACGACATTCCAGCCCAGCTATTTGCCGTCATCTTGTCCGTGTGCCAATGCCCGTCCACCGCGACAGTGTTGTTTGGTGTTGCATGGAGCGTTTCTCCATACCCGTCCATGCACCAGGTAGGCAGGTAATTAGCCCACATGCCAAGTCGCGATGCTGCCAGGAACCCAGCAGTCTGCATCAGAGGAGATGGGTCCGATGCCGTGGGCATCCAGCCCTCGATTGCCGAAGGCAGTGCGAACGGGAACGGATCCAGCCTACATGGTGCCAAAGAGTTCTCCTGCTTAGCTTGATGCAGCGCGTGTTGCGAGGCAGGCTTAATCAAACCTACTGCCATCGGCATAGGGCACACGCGGAAGATCGGACTGTCGACATGCTATCGTGCAGGCAAGGCACGGCCTTGTGCCACCAAAGTCGCCGATGCCACCAGCCGCCTCCCCGCCGACCACTTGGGCACAGCCGATGGCACCTACGCCACCTGCTTCTCACCAGGACAGGCTGTTTAAGAAGCCACTGCTGAGGCTGTTTAAGAAGCCACTGCCGAGCAGGATTAGGCCAACTTCAACCGGATTGTCTGTGTGTGTGTGTGGGGTCATCACGGCATCTTAGGGGTGGAAATCGTCATTGTTAGTTGGCGACATTGTTTTTCGCTAGGCACGTGGTGCCTCAAACCAAGGAGGTGTGTTTGTTCCGATGCATTCTGCCAACAAGACAATCCGGCGCATCTCTGGGTGCTGCCGACAATCACGAAAGCATCCCCTGAAATCTTAAGCCTTAAGTCTTCTGCAAGGTCTTTGTCGCTGTAGACCATCAGTATGGGGCTTGGTCCCATGAGGGAGAGAAGGTGTGCGCCAGCTTGACTGTACTGGCGTAGTTTGCTTGTGCGGCATGGAACGATACTTGTTCCAACCTCATTGCAATGCGGAAGAGCTTTTCCCGAAGACGAACTGCCAGAGTAATCTTTCACTTTCACTTACACAATAGGCATAGGTGCATCCACTGCAGCCCTGTAGTAAGAGGGGGCGTGGGGCTTGTCATGTACCTTTAGGAGCTGACTTCAGCCTCTTGGATTCCATTCCCAGCGGGATGCATGCTACCCGTACTGACGTGTAGAAGAAGGGGGCGCATGCAAAGACTCTTGGACGGGTTCCTCCCAAGATGCTGGGAGACAGTTATGCGAACCTCTGTGGTCACGCCGAAAGCAATGACTCGCTTCTACTCGGTTCATCTTCTGGAATGTTTGCTGGTCGGGCAAGTACTGGTCTGGTGTCTGCATCACCATCCTACCAGTACCAGTTCTTCGGGGCCTGCTGCTCGCCATTACTGGCCAGCGAAAGCAGAGCAAAAAAGATCGGGCAAAGCCGACACCGGAGATGCACCCTGTGAGAGTGCTGACAAGCTCAACACGACGGACGACGGATGCGTGATCATCAAGATCGCCACGAGCTGGTACTCTAAATGCCATGAGGAGGTGTCCACCCCAGTCCGTCTTTGAACCGGACTTTCCTCGGTGTTTGGTGGCAGAGAGTTGCTGCTGTGACTGTGCTGAAAACGTAAAGATCCCACTCGAAGGAGTCTTTCAAGCCCAGCACTGCCATCCCCACAGTTGCTGCGCTTCCACGAGTTGGCCGGCTCATGCAAGGCCGCGTGCTGCATGATGTTTGCCCATGTTTGCTCGATGCTCAGATGAGGCATCCTGGCAAAGAAGGCCGAAGAGGACCTGACAAGTTTTGCTGGGTTGGCCACGTTTGCTTGGAGACGAAGCCTGGAGCAGGCTCGGAAAGCAGCAGCTGACCTGTCGTGTCTCGGCACATCAGTTCGAGTGACGGATCTTGATTGAAGGGGCGGGTTATAATGATAAAACACCTGGGTGCGATGTCTGAGCAGGTAGATATGGCTAGATCCGTGCGAAATTGTGCGAAGGCACAGACGAACTTGTTGCTTCAGCTGTGGTATGTATGTTAAGGCTCAAGCGGTGTCAGTCTGACTGATGTGTCAGAGAAGCCAAATGTGAGGATAGCGGCCTGCCATGGAAAGGAAGGCCCTTCAGATCCTCAAGGACGGACTCGAGTCAGAAGGTGGCGTGGCCTTGATTCCTTCATTCTCCGTGAAAGTGAAGTGGGGCCAGCATGACCTTCAAGGCCTGGGTAACATACGGAAGTTCCTCGCGAAATATCCGGAACTCTTCAGCCTGGAAGGATCAACTGTCACCCTGAGTCAGAGCTTACTGCGCAAGGACGAGGCCCCTAAGACCACCAGCAAATCTGCGCCAAAAGCACCACCTTCATCCCTAGGCAGGAGGAGGATTGCAGAGGATATCGAAGAAGGACAAGGCAGCAAGATGCCTCGACATGCCGGAGCTCCCACATCGAAGGCCTGGGCCGTCGAGGTTCCGAACGAAACCAACGGTACCAGCTTGGGGAGGGCCAAGCCAGACACTGCACCGAAAGCTTCCAAAGGCATGGCACCGAAGCCAAAACACACATCTGCTGCATCTGCTGCCGCATCTGCAAAATCAGCACCTGCGGATCCAAGCGGCTCTGCCGGCTCAGATGTGCAAGACGTGGAGCCTGCACCGTGGCATAGCCGTCGGCGGATACAAGCCGGTTCGATGGGTGCCGGTGCCCTCAAGGATCGGACGCATGTGCCTGATGCATTGCAGCGTTTCTGGCGTTGTGCCACTAATTTGTACAAGCTTTTCTCCAGTTGGAATGTAGTGACATGTGATCTGCGTCATGTTGATGGTTGGTCATTGCAATATCGAGCAGCCCCGGTAGGTGTCGTGACTTGGTGTGACATGTCACTCAGACTCCCTTTGGAGTTTTGGGGCACAGGAGAAGCAGCTTTTGTGGTCCAAGTGTCGGCACATGCGGCCTTTCGTGCGAGCCGTTGGGTTCTCCTGCTTGTCGCAAAGCCTAACACACCATGACGAAGCTGTTTGGGTGCAGAACGTGGAGTCTGTGAAGATTTAGATCTCTAAGGTCCCAGGCTTTTACTGTGTTTGTCGCGAAGAAATGCTTTTTAGACCTTTCTAGAAATTTCCTTGTGCCATTCCTTGTGCTAGCGGCTGCTCTACATAGACTCTCCCGGGTTTACCTTCAGACGAGTCCTGGAATCATATGCCTAGGGCAAAGAACTTGCTCATTGAGATCTACCAAGGTGAGTTGCAGATTGAATCTTGAGTGCTCTTGTTCACTCTTCCGTACTCCGCTTGCTTCCCAGGAGTGTAGTGAGAAGAACCATGCACGATCTTGCGACCTGTGCAGGTGGATTGAAGTAAATTTCGGCTTTGTTTTGCGAAGTCTTGCCCCACGTCGGGATCATGGCAGCTCAGAGTTTTCAACCGTTCAAGAAACTGGATTCCACAACCCGCTTCACTTCTTGTTCTTTCCACGCTATGCTTGCGCTGGATTGTGTGCCAGGGTGCACAAGAAACCTGTGTCGACCAGTGGTACAAAGCGAGGGCACCGGGTTGGAGCATCAACGACAGTCCAGTTAGGGCAATGGACAAGCAACGCGAACTCTTCTGAGCATGTTCACCCCCCGGGATGGAGAGAGAAACTAATGTAGAATCTAGATGGCATGGCGCTCGTCATAGCGAATCAACACTCCTGCCCAGTTGCAGGCCAAGCCAGGCACAGGCAACTAGCACTTAACTAACATGTGTACGGTGATGCCTGCTTCGAGATATCTGTGCATTCCGTGAAGGAGACGACTTGGGAGGAGGACGGCCTGAGTGATCAGGAACTCATGCACGCGATTACCTCCAGCAAAGCCCGTGGAATGGAACTGGAGCTGGCAGAGCTCCTGAAGAAGCTACAGCCGACGGATGAGTACAAAAGAGAATGTCAACGTGCTTTGCTCTTGCTGAGGGCTGCATTTGCTCAAGAGTTCCCACCAACACTGACGAGTAAGGCCCCGAAGCTGGAGATCATTGGTTCCTGTGCTCAAAACACGGAGCTGAACGGTTCTGATGTGGATGTAGCCTGCAGGCTTTCAGATCTGAGTGCGGATGAGCTGGACACAAAGCTAGCAAAGCTTTGGGCGCGCCTGTTTTCAGCACCCCATTCCACACACCTGCTGGCTTTGGATGCTACCCGTTTGTTCCCCCATGCGCCCTGCCAATTTTCGATCCATCTGAAAGCGGGTGCGCCGCGATTTCATGCTCACCTTCTTCTGGTCGGTCCCCAATCCGGCCAGGGCCAAGAGTCGCTCGACTCCATGCTTCGCAGTCTCTGTGATTGTTGCAGCAAGGCCAGGGACCTGATTCGGCTTGTGAAGCTCTGGGCTCGAAACCACGGCTTGATGAACCACCGTGAAGGTTACATGAATGGGGTCGCGTGGACGGCTTTTGTTTTGTGCTTCCTGCAGAGGGAGCAGTACATCCCACCGCTGCAGACAGTTCTGGAGGAGAAGAAGCGATCTGAGATACCTACTGCGAGCTTGCGGGAGTTGCTGCTCAGATTTTTCCAGTACATCTGTGCTCCGCAAGCCAAAACGCCAAGAGGTCTTTCTCTGATGGAGGGAAAGGATTGTGAGGCAGCTGTACCTCCTCCTTCTCATAGCGGGCCTCCGCCACCCCTGTACATACAGGATCCAGTGCAGTTCAGGCAGGGATCCGACCAGAACATCGCAGCCACGCTTACGGAAGCACCTTGGGCGCGTATCCTTGATGAATCCAGACGAGTTGCTGAGAGGCTTGACCCTTCCAAACCCCAGCGTTGGTTCTATTGGGCTGAAATCTTCGATCCGCAAGGGCTGGCATCGGGCGCAGGAGGTAAGCGACTTCCGAAGCTTGGCGACGTGAAAGTCCCTTCTGACGAGCAGCCTGTCTTGCTTGATGGTGCCTCCAGTGCAGTTCCCGCCACGAGCACAGCGGATGCAACTGGCAGAGGACGTGTGGAAGCGAGCCGCAGCGAGAACTCTTATGGAGCTCCTGCGGAAGCTCCGCAGGCACTGCTTGAAAACAAGGTGGGTAAAGAGAGCTGGCCCGGCAAAAGCGGATGGTGGTTGTCTGGCAAAGGACCAGCCGCGCACACGTCGCATGCCTATTAGCACAAAAAGTTTGCATGCATACAAGGTGGCTGGTGGTGAGCACGTGCTTCTTCACTGCCCAGCACCGCGGCCGAGGTCCACAAGTGGCATGCTGGGTTCGCCAGAGGCAGATGACCAAGCGAGCAAGCCATGTGCGGCACTTAAGCCAGACTTTCAGGTGCAAGTTGTACCATTGCAAATTGCCCTGCGAATCCGGAACCGCCAATTCAACCGTGCCACTTGAACCACTTGACCACTGGAGTCAACATAACGCTACATCTGTTCAAGTGGCGTATATCGCTAGGACTGTTTAGGGGTGGGTGCCACTGGTGCCACTTGTGCAAGGGTTCTTTGGACACACATTCCGGGCAGAGGGAGCTTCCGGGCGACAGGGCAAGCCCAGCTGCAAAAGGGCTTAGGGTTTTGGGGTTGAGGGTCTAGCAGTCTAGGGGGTTTAGGGTTTAAGGGTTCAGGGTATGGAAGTGCAGTCAGGAGTGCTGACCTTCCGTCCATGTATTCAGGCGATTGCACAAGTCGGGTGAGGGTTGGTTTCGGGGTGCTACTGTATTGTTCCTATTACTATTACGACTAGCATTGCTGTTTCTACCATTAGTATCTGCTGCTGGTACTAGAGGCCTCACCGAACGTAGGTGGCGCAAGTGGCGTAAAATGGCGAGGTCACGTGGCGCAAGGCACACAAGAGGATGCAATCGCTCGGGAGGTTCAAGTGGAGCAGGTGGCCAACTGGCAGAAATCAGTTGGCGGTTCCCGCTTCCTCCGCGCACTGTCCCAGTGAGTTTAATTTCTGTTGCTTCGTAGCCTGCATCGCAGGTAGCAGTCCTGCTCCTGCCCCGGTTGCAAGCCGCAGGCAAGCCCGAGTGACGTCCCCCTGGACTTTTCTTGTCTGCAGGTAGCAGTGCACTGCCCCAGCCATGCGTACGATCTGTCGTCCCAACCTCCCGATTCCAGGAGACATCCACCGGTGCCACCTCCGCCGTCCTCGCCACCGACACCCGCTCGAGCCAAGGCATCGGCACTGCTGCAAGTGCTTCCCCCTTGGCCGGGCGCATAGAGGAGATCACCGTGAGACTTGTATCAAATTCTGGTCTTAGGCCGGTCAAGACGTCGTCGATGGTGGATACCTCCCTGAACACTGCCGTAGCTGCTTTAGAGCGGCAGGCCGCATGATGTGATCGGTTGGTTTTGATGGCTTTAGAATATCTACACGTCATGCTGGCATCGCAGAGGAGTACGACTTTGCTTTTGCCGCATTCAAGAGCTGCGTTTTGCAGTGGAGGGAGTCAGGCCTGGAGCCTGTTGCATTTACGAGCGGACGTGGGGTTTAGCAAGCTTCGGCATAGCCAGTGAAGTGGAGAAGCACGACATGCCATGAACGTCTGCTTGGAAGTGCTTCCTGCCGTTCGGGCAGTCTCAATTGCGCCATGTGCATCGAAGGCATATCGGTTTCGGCGGCAGCAGTTCGTCCACGTGTTCAGGCAGAGAGGGCTCTGAGGGCTTCGGGCCATACGATTCATTACTGCGAAGATAAGAACCGACTGAAGAGGATAAGAAAACGAACAGCATCATTTATCACGACTGTTGAACACGGGTGTCAAGGCACCAATCTGTGTCACTGGCAGGCAGCTGTGAGCTACATGAAGCTGTGCCAGCTGCTCCAGAACATCCAGGCATTCCATCCTATTGCAATAGTTCTTGTGCATGGCTTGATGTGTCAGGAGAAGCAGGAGGGTCTTGCGAAGGTGCTCCCAATAGTTTTGCTGGAGTAGTTCCGTGGCGTTTGGAGTGTGTCGTCATTACCTAGACAGGCATACGGCGATTCGTTGCTGGTCAAGCGGGAGTTATGCCAGAGCTGGGAATGCGTACTGCGGCTTCCCAAGGAGCCTTGGGCGTGTCGTTCCTTCTGTTTCGCCAGCTGCCCGGTGATTATCCTATTGCACCTACGTGTCTGCCTACCTATTTACTGCTAGAACTGGCTTCCAACACCTGCTACTGACTACTACCAGCTACTTAGCTTACCACTAGCTGCCGCTAGCTACTGTCTGCGAGTTGCTACGAAAGACTAGCTTCTAGCTACGAGTTAAACGAACTAAGAACCACGACCGCGACCACCACGACGATGACGACGACTACTTTACGGCTACTGCATTTCTGCTGCCGCAGGCGTTAAGCAAGGGCTACTGATGTCCTCGTCCAGTGCTTTCCGAAACAAGTTTGCAAGACGTGAGCGCGACATGAGGCGCTGAATCAAGGCTTGTGCTCTCTTTCTGGGTCCTCCACTTCATTACGTGCAGGTTAGGGGGATGTGAGCTGGATGGGACTGCGGCTGGGGCTGCAGAACATGATCGCTCGCAGTTCCAACGAGTTCAAGGGAGTTGTCTTGCGGTTCAAGTGCAAAGTCAGGGTGAGCACAACACACTCAGTCCGTGTTTGTGTCCTTCGAGTGGGTGGGCCGTTTGTTCGTCAGGCTTTGCGCCACTATGGCCGAATTGAGTTCTCTCGTATCAGTTGATGACACATAGTCCGCCACAGTTTACTCAAAACTTTTACATGAAGATAGATGTGCATGAATAGACAGGGGAAAAGGTTCTGCTCCCCGACAGGTTGATCTCGCACAACTGCGTCTAAGAGACATGCATGCGGGTCGGTCACGCGCTCGAGGATGAATTAACACGGCTTGCTTGGCATCGGCTTTGCAGACACACCAAAAGTTATGGACGAAGTTGTATGCCCAACCCGGACCCTCTATGAACTGCATTAGACAGAAAGTTGCTAAAGCAGGAATTCCTTCTAGGTCCAGTTCTAGCTTCATTCTTCCATGTTGTTATAGCGACAGTGAGCAAGCCTGCAGCAGATAAGTTTTTCTGCTTTCATGCCAGGCGCCATGTCACACAATCCATTTCCTCATCCGTGCCATGGTGCCTGCCTCGGCTTGGCAGAAAGCTGTGCACCGTCCCCATTGATAATTCTCAATGCCGAGGAAAGCTTGTTTAATTTCGCGCACGGGGCCGGTGGTTGGGCTGCTGCGAATCGTTTGGCGCAGGCGACAGAAGCGCAAGTTCAATACTCTGTCTGCTCGGGCTCGGGGCACTTAGCTTCCTTGGAGGTCTTGCTCCAGCGCCACGGGTCCTACCTGAATGGGGCGGAGCAAAAGAAGGCCGAGGGCAGGTCAAACAAGATCTTGACGGTGAGAACTGCGACCTTTCAGGCACAGCATATTATGACGACCACCCAGCACGGATGCCTTTCCGGGCGTGTTGGGACGGAGATCGCCAGCGCTCAGCACTCAGTACTTGTGCAGGGCTCGCCAAAATCGAGTTAAAGCAGCTGCGCAGCGGAGGCATGTCCTGCTTGCAAAGCTCCAGCAGACTTCCTTGCGCTGACTTGCGATAGCTGCCATGCCGTGCAGTGAACTTGGATGCAGAATCTGCGGCAGCGCACGATTGGACATTTTTGTGTCTTCAGGTTTGGAGTCGACTTCAGAGACCTCGCCGTTTGTGATCTACGACAAGCCCAGACTTGCAGCAAAGCTGAATTGAAGCTGCCCGATTAAATTCAATAGTCGAGAACGCAGGCACTGTGTGCAGAGCAACCTTCCGTCGCGGCCTCTGTGGCCATCGGCTCCTCTCTGCTGCCTTCGATGTCGCTTCTGGTTGAATCAGTGTATTCCTTCTGCAGACTCAAGCGTTAGGCAGTGCAATCTTGGGGCAGCCCGAGCGCAGAAGGCACCAACTGACACATGGACCAAATTTCATAGTTCGGCCGGCGCTTTGCCAGGCAAGCAGGCCTTGCGCAGCCAGTCAAGTCGAAAGCTCATCGCAACAGCTTCACGAGTGAAGTGAATCTCAGGTGGTGGCCACGCCTCGGCAGAGAGAGAGAGAGAGAGAGCAAAGCAAAGCAAAGACAGAGAGAGTGTGGGCACGCGCGTGGGGGGCCTGCGCTCCACTGGCGGAGTGCAAGCAAGTGGGGAGGCAACTCCCCACCACAGCCATGGCGAAAGAAAGAACGAGAGAGAATTTTTGATAGGAAACTCGGCAGAGCCGTACAATACAACACTGAAGACCTAGGCCTTGCGACAACCACTGCGACAATCGAAACCAGGCAGCCTCCCGACTATGTGGCTTTAAGCACCGCCGGCAAAGCCGACACCACTCTAGGTCATCTCTTAGCATGCCATGTTTACCTTGTTATCTGAGTTCCTTGTTCATTCCTTCGCTCTGTTTCGTGGGGCAGTAAGCGTAACGTCTGTTTACTACCGCACAACCGCTCCAGACCGAGTTGGGGAGACGTAGCGGGGGAGGGCAACCTCCTCTTCATGCCCTTAGAGCAAGAGAGAGAGAGAGAGAGAGAGAGAGAGAGAGAGAGAGAGAGAGAGAGCAGCCCAGTGCAGACACCACCCGCCATCCCAATACAACAGGCGAGCGGGGGAGCTCCACCCCTGCACAAGGAGCCCACCAAGTGCGCTTTGCCCAAGACGTGGTCGATCCCCCCACCGGAGACAAACCCGCGAAGCCTCCCAGAAAAGCCACAGCCACGACGACAGCCGGGGACGGCACGAAGGCCAAAACACAGACCAAACAACCACCGCCACAACCGCCACGCAACTACAGTGCATTTGTGGACACTCGCGACCTGCGAGGGACACGGGGAAAGGGGGTCCCCCCGCCCCCTCCAACACCGCCAGTGCCACCGGCAGACCCCTTCGCACAAGTTCGTGATGGCCGCGACATTGGTGGGAAAAAGAAGAAAACAACCACTACCACCAGTACCCCACCTCCCACAACTTACCCATACGTAACTTCCACCACAAGCAGCACCAGCCTACACACAAGCAACCCCAGCACCACGCATACCACCACAGGCACTAGCATGCAGGGGGAGGATGACACAGAGGACACCATCTTCATGCAACACAACCTCGCTGAAGCTTTCCGGCGCGGACAGATCCCAACTCCACAAGCACCACCACCACCCACAGACGGGACCGCCGCAGTCGACCCACCCGAGACGATCCAAGACAGCTCGGAAGCAGGCCACCCGAACCAACCGAACACAGACCCCCCGCCAGGATCCTCCAACCAGCCGCCGATGAGCACCACCGACCGCATTGAACACTACCTCACGCGGATCCACACACTAGCACAACAACTCCCCGGGGGGACCATGGTAAGCCATTTGGACCTCCTTGTCGACAGTCAAACTGAGGCTGAAGTACTCCGGCACCTGGAGCTGGAAACCATGCCCCCGCCCAACCACACGGGGGAACCCGACCCCAAGAGAGCCCGCACAGACAAAGCACAATCACCCACTGCAGCAGCCCTACAGAGAATCCGGGGGAAAGCAATGCAGCGACTAGCTTCAGCCGAAAATCATAACTACATCACGTACTACGACATCCAGCATGACGTGGAGTGTAGCACACGTGTGTGCGCATGGACATGAGCGACTCGTCGTGCCGGCAGCTGCCCCGGCTCGACGTCGCTTTTTCGGTGACCAGGCGTTCTGTAGCATCTCCTCCCGGCCGAGCCATGTCGTACTCGCCGGCTGACATCGAGGCGGCCTTCGTGGTGATCCTCGCGGCGTTGGAGGAAGGGGAGGACTTGGCTCCCTTCCTCCGACAGTGCCCGCCTGGCGCCCGGCGTGCCTTGATGCTGATGCTGCAGGCGTCGTTGCCGGCGACCCGGGCAGCTACGACTTCTGACCCGGCGCCGCCTAAAGGCGGCTCAGCCGGCAGATGGATCTGGTGGCGGCGGAGCTTCTGGTTCGAATGCCGGCGGGGCGTCGAGCTCGGCCGGGCCGGCGGTTCCTGAGCCGAGCCCTGAGCCCCCAGCAAGTACGCCGGCGCAGGCGCAGCCGGCGCCGTGGCCGCTTCCTCCGGTTCGGAAGCAGCCACCGCCAGTGCCGGCGGACCAGGATGCAGGGCAGCAGCAGGCGAAGTCGGCGGGGATCCCGGCCAAGCCCAAGCCCAAGGGGCCGCCGGTCGCCCTTTGGGAGTCCTCTGGCTGTTTGTCGGAGGCGGACGCCCGGCGAGCCGCGAATTCTATCACGCCATGGCCGCGGCTCGGGCCGCCTGCCAAGCAGCCCTCCTTTCCACCGGCGAAGCCGGCCCCGGTGGCGAAGACGCCGGCGCCCAACTCGGCAGAGATGGCGGCGCTGCAGCTCCGCATTGCTGATGAGATCGCGGCGGGGACCCCGGCGCCACAGGCCTCGGCCAGCGCGGCCGCGCCGGCGCCAATCCCGGAGGGGTTCATCCACATGTTGATCCGCGGCGAATCCTTCACCGTCAACCGGACCACTGGTGAGGGTTTCCCGGCGCTGCCGAGGCGCCCTGTCAGATCGGCGACGGATGCAGAGCGGCGCCGGAACGATGACGAATACCGGCGCCTGGTGGACGTCCGGTTCCGGCTCTGCTCCGTCGAGTGGCAGGAGCACATCCGGCGCATCAACCAGCCCGGCGCCACCTCGGATGTGCCAGTGCCGGCGGCTATGCAGGCGTCCATGGTCTCCTCCGTCGAGGTCCTCGAGCAGATCGAGGACCGGATGAGACTCGCCGGCGGTGCTCAGACTGCTGTGGTGCCCACGGCGCCCGGCGCGGCAGACTATATTGTCCGCTCGCTGGCGCCGAACTTTCGCGGCGGTCGAGTACCTGAGCGGCTGGACGGCGAGGTATGGTGCGTCGGCTGGTGTGGCCGGCCATGCCCCGGCTTTGAAGGGCGCTGTCGCGGCGGTGGCGGCAGATGCCTCAGGCCAGTCTTGATCCGGCGGGGTGGCGCGGAGGATCTGGAGGCGCACAACAACCACTTGTGTGACACCTGCCGGCGCTTCCGCAACACGCGCGATGGCCGTTTCTAGTGCCACCCCGCCGGCGGGCCACTTTGCCCGCCTGGTAGGCCTCCTGGCGTAGCCCTTAGCCGGCCTTATACATTTTTGGTTCCGGCGGCGCCGCGACGCCTTCGCGGGCCTCTCCGGCAGCCGCTGGCCCACGATGCCCTATAATTCGTTTCTTGCTTCCGGCGTGCCGTACGAGCAGGTCGGGAGATGTCGGGAGGCCTCACAGCCTGGCGCGAAAAGTGGGGCCGGCGCGGAGTGTGGAGTGCAGTCGGCGGTTAGGTTTGCAGTGCTGTCGCCTGCCCCGGCCCTCCCTCCCGACCCTAATCGTCGTGGCGCGTTCGTGGAGCGTCGCGGCTCAAGTCCTCCTCCCCGGCTCAAGGATGTCGGCGGTTGACCTCTCGGCCGGCGGGTTCGCGCAGGTGGCGCGGGCCTTCGTCGACATCCAGGCTCAAGAGTTCCTGCCTCTCCTGCCGGCGGCGGGGGGTGCGCGACCTCTGGGGCGCCCTGCTGTTGGCCGGCGTCCCAGAGGAGGTGCTCCTCCGGTTATGGGCCTGGCGCCCGGCACCGGCGACTCCAGGCCAGGAATCCTTGCCCAGGCAGGCGGTAAGCCAGTTGGCTCAGCTGCCTGGCGGGCCCGGCGCGGCACCGGCGGTCCCGGAGGCCCCACTATATACCCTTCTTCTCGGCGCAGAAGAAGTGCTGGCGCGCATGTACTTCGAGCATACCAAGTCGAAGGAGTACACGGCGGTCGGCTTGGGAGAGATCCTGCAGCGGCGCACCTTCACGGCGGCCATGGAGGTGAACCCGCTGGCGGTTCGGCTAATTGACGGCGCCTTGCTACACGACCGGGACGACCCCTGGTACACGAAGGGGATTCTCGGCGTGCTCGATGGGATCGAGGCGGTCCGCTGGCCATGGACCCTCACCGGCGTGGCCACGGAGAAGGGGGCGGCGGAGTGTGCCCAGTGGTGGTCGTCCCGGGCCCCGCAGCGCCCCTCCCACCTGAAAGCGATCACGGAGTACTGGGACGCATCCTCCCGGCGCCTGGCCATGCAGATGCGCCTCGGCGGAGATCATGAAGGACCACTGGACATCCTCTCCCGGCCGGCGGCACGGTGTCTCCGCGGCGCCAGCCGGACCAGAGGCGGCGCAGAAACCCTCGCGGCGACGAGGGCCGGTGGTGGAGCAGCCCTGGCGCTCCCGCACGGATGCCCGGCGGTGGGCGAATGGAGATCGCGCCCAGCAGTGAAGCAGTGGCGCGAGGGACAGCACGGGGCCCCGCCTGGGGCGTGGGGGTGGGGTACCCGACCGGAGCTCGGCAGAGCCGGTGGTGGTGCTGAAGCCGGCCGTTATGTGGGCATTTTGGAGGACCTCTTTGGCACACCGACGGCGGCCCTGGCATGGGAGACAGACCGGACCTGCCGGCGCCTCGTCTTACCGTCTCCCCTGGCGACTTCCCCGGCGAGTGGGTGAAGTGTGGCGACGGAGATCAGGCGCCTGGACCCGCCCGGCAAGTGCGTGGTCCTGATGATAGCGGCGCCGCCGGCAAGATTTTTCTTTCAAATCGGCGCAGAAACAGGCCACAGCGGCGCCCGAGGCAGCCTTTTCTTGCGCTCGGCGGAGTTTGTCCTGGAGCTTCGCGCGGCGCTACGCGGCTGGCGGGTCGGCTTCATGTTTGAAAACGTGGTGATGCAGCCGGCGTCGGCCAAGGAGGTTTCCGACTGCCTCGGCGTGGAACCGGTCTTGGTTTGCGCCTCCGACTTCGGTTGGATTTCGCGGCCGAGGCTCTGGTGGCTCTCGGCGGACCATCCGCAGTGCACTGAGGACCCGGCCACCGGCGCATCCCGGGCGGCGGCAAGCTCGCTGCTCGTCAAGGGCATGGCCTTTCATCCGGCGGTCGCGTCCAGCCGGCTGCTCTTGCCCTGTGCCACCCGCCCGGCGCCTAAGAGGGAGGGAAGCCGGCGCGGGCCAGGTGGCTGGCGGACTCCTGGCAGTTCGCTCCTTGGCATTCGAGGCGATGCTGCGACGAGGCCGGGCGGCTCCACAACATCCCGGCCGGCGTCAAGGAGACCCTCCATGAGATACCGGCGGGGTATGGCACTGGGGTGTGGTGCGGCGCCTCCTGGCCATGCTCATGGCACTTATACTGTGGCACAACCGGCGGAGGCGTCAGTGCCGGCAGGCCCCAGGACTGCGGCCCAGTTCGGCGGCGGCGCCCTGGACATGAGCCCACCGCCTCGCCTGGCGTCGCGGCTCGACCTCTTGGAGGATGACCCTGACGAGCGCTGGCGGCAGGCGCTCCGGCTGAGCCACTGCACGGTCACGCGGCGGCTTCAACTGGAGCCGGCGGTCGAGACATGGAGCTCACCGCCACCTTGGCGCCACGATGTGGTGCGTATCCGCGGCGAGGTGCTGGAAGAGATCAAGGGTACCCCGACATCGACGGGATCACGGCGGACCTCGCCCATGGGTTCTATGCTGAGGTGCGGCGCGGCTGGAAGGATAGGAAGGACGGCCGCTATCAGAACCTGGCGTCCCTGGACAGCTGGCGGCGACCAACTGGGAGTACGTCCGGAGGCGCGTGTCGGGAGCCAAGCCCGGCGAGCACTGGGAGACCCTGCTGCAGGAGCTGGTGGCGGAAGTCAAACTCAGCCGAGTCGTGGGCCCCACCTCCCCGCCATCGGGTTGGAACCCCCGGCGCCGACCGGCTGGTGCCGCCGCCCCCGGGCCGGCATTTTGCGGCGGCGTTCTTTGCCATTGTGCAGGAGGGCGGCGAGGGGAAGGTGAAGGTGCGCCGGGGGGAGGATTGGCGGCGTTTTCCACGATCCTGGCGCATGACGTTCCCACCCACCACTTCGTCGATGACGTCGTGGACTTTATTCGGCGGGTGGTGGAGCTGGCGGGCATTCGTGGTGTCCCGGCGGCCAGGCTCTTCAAACACGACCTGCTCAATGCGTACCGGCAATAAACAGTGCGGAACACGGCTCACTCCGGCACCTTCCTGGCGACACCGTTTTCATCTGGCCATGTGTTTCGGCGCCGCGGCGTCGGTTTGGAATTTTAACAGGGCCGCGGACGCGCTGCAGGCGCTGACCCGCGTCCTGTTGTGGTTGGTCCGCGGCCACTTTGTGGATGATTTTAACGGCCCGGAGCTCGCGGCGTCCGCCTTCTACTCCCTGGCGGACCTCTTTCAGGAGCTCGGGTTGCAGACCAAACCGTCGCAGATTCCATCCACCGGGGTCTGGACCCGGGTCCAGCCCGCCATCGCGACCGCCGTGGCAATGTCGCCGCGGGACACCGCATCCTTTTTTCATTTGAAGCGCCCGCCAAAATTCAGGAAGCCACCTCATCTCCGCGGCCTGGGACCAGAACGCCGCCAGGACGCCGTTCACCGCGGGGTCCTTTCCATAGCCCTTGTGGTGAGGGCCCACTGGCCGGCGACATTGTCGATGAACGCCAGCCACCGCTCCGGCAGCCGCCGCGCCAGGGTAGTCAGCGCCAAGACCTGGGCGACTATCTCGAGCACATAGATGAAGGCTCGCAGGCCGGCGCCTGGCCGTAGTCGTAGTAGGTCTCGCCGCGACTCTGACCACATACCCCCATCCGTTCCTGCCGCGGGCCCCCTTGGGCGTGGGCAGCCCCGCCGGCAAGAAACCGGCCTTGTGCTTGATCTTGGCGGGCTGGAAGAACGCATCCGCGTAGATCAGGGCCTGCGGGGCGCCGTCATCGACGAAAGGCACAAACCTCGGCCGGATGTTGCGGAGCAGCTGGCGCAGCGCGCGCAGTGCCGCCGCCAGCCCCACCGACAAGTCAGGAGAAGACTCGGCCGCGGCCCGGGCATAGAGCGGCTTCAGCGCCGCCTTGCCGAGGCATCCGAAGGTAGACTGCGACGCGAAGCTGAGCCTACCCGCCAGCTTCTGCGCCGCGTGTGGCTGGAGGGTGTTCGTCTCCAGCGCCGCCTCGATGGCCCGGAGAATCTTGGCCACCCTCGACGGGGTAGGCCGCAGGGAGACGCCGGTCGCTTCGATCGTCATCTCCACCCCCTGGACTACGTGTCGGGACGCCGGCTGCGCCATCCTCGCGAGGACCGCCGGCGACCTGGAGTTCGCCATCCACGGGGCGGCGACGGAGCTGCAGCAGCGTGGGGGTGGGGAGCGCCGGGCGGGTAGCTCAAAGCTTCCCCGGCGCCGGCCAGCCTAGTTTTGGGCGGAGGCGACGGACCCGGCGCGATGCGCTCCGATCCCATACAAAAGAAGGGAATGCCGTCGTTCTCCGTGTTAGCCTTTTTCGGCGTTTCTCCTAAACGTCGATAGCACATGTCCGTAGTGATCACGTGGCTTACTGGGCACATGCACGCAATGGCCACAGCAATGGATGCATGGAGACCCAGACATTGGGGGAGTCCTGCCGCAGCGTCCCTGCATGGATACGATCGGGGGATCCAGAATATCGGCGAAGTGCTTGGGCGCATGGGCCAAGCATTGCAAGGTGTGCAGATGGAGCCCCAGAACCGTGAACACTGGCTGCTTCTCGTGGATGTAGTTGCCTATCTGGCAGCAGTGGAACGCGGGGAACCTGTGTACCACCCCGCTGATGTCATAGCCTTGAGTCGGGGGATGCTGACCAACCACCTTGCTCGTGAACGACGCGAAAGACGGGCACGGGGAATTATCCTTGAATTGCGGGCCCTCCGCGAGCAACTTACAGGATGGCCGGGGGCGGACCTTAACAGTGTCCATGGAGCCCTCCTTGAGACTTTCGAAGCGGTGGAGGCGGCACTATACAACCCCAAGTACGAGTACCACCGGGGGAACATGCCGGAAACGATCATGCTGAAGATCCGGGGCACGACCAGGTTCTTCCTCTTCAAAACCTGGGGAATGCGCCTGGCCCGTCCTCAAGCGGGGGGCCATGGTGGACACACGAACGTCACCATTAACTCGGAAATGTGGCGGACAACCGACGCCACAGCCCGACGGAGGAGTACGGTAGTGATGGAGACAGCCCAGCCGAACACCGACGTCGTCGTCTCCATGGTGCCTACTATGACAGAAACGGGCCCATCTGAAAGCCTGTGGGCCGTGAGAGTGCCTAGTTGCGGTAGGGGAACACCAAAACCCTCCGGGATTTCTTATTCTCGCCCCCTAGTCTGTGTAATTGTTCTGACGATGCCTCAATCTCCTGTTGTGACCCCGTGTAGCCTGCGAACTGCCGTACACTGCAGAACGTCGGGGGAAGACCGGAACTTGAGCACGCATGTTTAGGCCCTTAGGTCGGTAGTGAGTGCTGTGCCATTGCTTTTTCAGTCGAAACTTCCCCTGACATTACTGCAAAAGCTGTGCGTTGAAGATGGTACGCCGAAGATGTGTAGTCTTGTTACCGCATAAGTGAACTGCTGTACTGCTGAACATGTCCATCTTTAAATTTCAGGTCGTGCGATTGTGAAGAAGCCCGAGTGTGAAGTAGTTTTTGTCGCAGGGAGTCGTTCTTCTTGTATGGCGAGAATGTTGGTTTAGCGTGCTTCTTCCTAAACTTCTGGACTACTGCCAAACACATCGTCAGGGGAATGGTCATGATTTGCATTACGTATGCTTGGCCCTTAGGTCTTTAGTAAGTGCTGTGTCCTTGTTTCAAACGGCAGATCGTTCCCTCTGATGGCCGGAGACTTACCTCCCTGGCGAACAAAGCTTTTAGAGTGTTGCTACAAGATAGGGGGACAGGCGAAACCTGTGATGCCACTAGTTTTGTTGATGATGCAGTTGTTTTGCCAGACGCCTGAACCCCCTGAATACTCAATCTGACGAGTAGAACAATCTGCAAAAGATGTAGAATTGCTGTTCTTGATTGAGCGTGCTACCGTCTGCATGTGTTGCTGCGACCTGCGGGGTGATCTGAGCCTTTCCTTTCTGCTCCAGTGAGTCGTTGGTGCCTGGGTTTTATCGGGGGGATTGTTGCTACCTTTCTTCTATGATCCTACACTTAGTGGGTTCTAAGGCAATCCCCAAACGGCACCGAACGAACAAGGGGGCAACTAAATTACCTCTCCGGACGAGGGGTGATCCTTTACATCATGACCTCTGTGATCCTCTGTAATCGTCATGTTAGAGCTTGGTGTTTAGTATAGCGGGGGATCGAGGACATGATTATGCATGTGTCGATGAGAAATGAGAATGATGTATCACAGTCAACGTTATCGTATACTATATGGCTTTAGCTCAGGCTGTGTAAATCATTCGTTCGTCACCCCTCACACCCGTTAACACGACCGGGGGGGCCAGAGGCCCGAGGGCGTTGACCCGCCCTCATGCCCAGGAGAGAGAGAGAGAGAGAGAGAGAGAGAGAGAGAGAGAGAGAGAGAGAGAGAGAGAGAGAGAGAGAGAGAGAGAGAGAGAGAGCCCAGTTTGTAGAGGTGCCGTACAGCCCCAGTCCTGTGATATGCACTGTACTACCAGCACCGTGTTACCAGAAAGCAGGGCGTAGTAGGCACCAAACGAGGCCCAGGGGCCTAAGTGGAGCCGAGAATGGTCTAGACAGGGTTACTGCAGGTACATTTTTGGCAGTATGGTAGCACTGTTGTATCGTGCCAGGCCCACTCGTAGACAGCCTCCTCAAAATGCCAACCCAGCATGGGAGAGTGGAAAACCCACACCGTACAGATGGCAGTGGGCGACAAATATTCGGTTCGGTTAACTCGGGGCATGGTACGGCTAATTTCGGGGAGTGATACAAGATGTCGCCGAGGAGTGCTCGATGTTCCAGCATGTAACACACATGCGCACGACCAACAAACGGGCGGCTCCCGCGGGGGCTCGCCCTCAGGCCCGGAGAAAGAAAGAGAGAGAGAGAGAGAGAGAGAGAGAGAGGGAGAGAGAGAGAGAGAGAGAGAGAGAGAGAGAGAGAGAGAGAGAGAGAGAGAGAGAGAGAGAGCGAGCGAGCGAGCGAGCGAGCGAGCGAGCGTAGCCATTTTGGCTCAAGCCGTGAGCGGTTCAAGGACCTCGCGAGGCACACCCCCCGGTGCTGTTTCTCCTCCTGACTGTCTGTTTGCACTCGCGAGGGGCCTCAACCCGGGCGTCTCCTCCCCTCGCCTTGCACTCCGCCTTAGTGCCGCATTGCTGGAGGACAACATAGGCTTGACTGCGCACCTCGTTCTCATCACTCCTGAGGGGAACTCGGTGTGCAACGCAGCCGGAGGGTGACCGCAGCCGTGCAGTACCTTACGAACTACCACTACCGCGAGCCCTTCGCAATCGGCGAGCCTACACAACAGGTACCACCTGGACATCCACTTTCTGATTGACCCCGCTGGCTGAGGCACAAGTACAGCTCGTGACTTGGGCAACGACACCAAGAATAATATCCTCACACTATAGCTGGTTCGGGGTTCGCACCAGCACAACAAGGCAACAAGGCCGGCACGGCAAACTTTCTCTTGCAACAGAGTGGGGAAACCCGCATCCACGAGCCGTCCAAAAAGTGACCTGAGTGACGCTGTAGTTGCTTTTTTCTGCAGTCAAACTGCTGAAAGCTTCTGCTGCCCAGGTCGCGAACGTTGTGATGCCTTCTGCAGCCTAATACGGGCTTCAGGTGCAGCAAGCGACAACATAAACCAGTGCAGAGCACGGCAGTTGCGCAAAGCACCGAAGTAAGACCAGCTGAAGCATCAGGACATCGCATGCTGTCTAAAATCGTGAGCTTTCAATTCGTTTGTGCTGCCATGGATACAAGTCCTGCTCCTATGACCTCTCCTGTCGAACCTCCCTCCCTTCAGCAGGGTATGAGCCCACACCTCACGCATACATCGAGGGTGAAGCTACTGGCCCAGACTACGGGCGTGCGGCTCTCGAGCCGCTGCGTGATCCTCAGAGTGTGAGTGCGAGACAGGATACGGCACAGCTGATGAATGGTGTGGGTGGAAGTGCTGCTACTTTGGGTAGTTTGCCTCAGCCTACGGGAACCAATGCTGTTTATGGAGCAGGGACTTCTGTGGTGGCACCAGTGCAGGCGCCACGTGAGCTTCCATTGGAAAGTGGATCGGTGGGCCTGCCTACCTCCCGAGCGAGGGATGAAACCGGACCAGGTGATTCGGCGTATGGTTTTTCCGGACAGGTGCGCGGCGAAACGTTTACGAGTGGAGCACCGCTATTTCCTCAGTTCTTTCCTTCCCCTCTGCCGGGGCAATCACCTGTGGCCACTCGTGCTGCTTCGACTACAAGGGCAGCAACGTGGTTGTCAAAGATCGGCGACTATCTTCAGAGAACTGTGGAAGTGACTTCATGGTCGGCGCATGGGTCGCCGGGGCAGGCGTCTCAAGGGCAATGGCCTCTTCAAGATGGTTCTGTGGCTGCAGTTCGTCCGCAGTTGCCGGTGGCTTCTCGCCACCCTACGCCTGCGGTGGAGTATAGGCTCCCATCGTCTTCAGGGTCAGCTGGGATTTCTCCAGAACTGGTGCAGGCGGAAGTGGCAAAGCAGGTGGAAGCTGCAATGGGCGATCTTCACGACCAACTTCGGCGAGAACGGCAGCGCACGGACGATGCCATGCGTGAAGCACGGCTCCTGAAACAGCAACTGGAGAATCATGAGATGAGGGTGGCATTGGAGCCGAGACAGGCTGCGGCCCTTCAGCTACCTCCGCCTCCTGGTTTGCATGATCGCAATGCACAGAGCCTCGGAGTTTCAGGAGTTACCACGAATCATCCTCCACTGGTCCCTTGTGAGCTAGATGATCAGCAGCCGTTGCCAGCTGCCTTGGATCTACCTGGTCTTCAGCATCAAGATGCTCGTGTTCATGGCGGAATAGACTTCGGTAGAGAATTGAGTTCTTCAGTCCAGGCTGGTGATGTTTCGGGAGTTCGTCATGGTGTAGAACATGGTGATATGAGCATCGGAGTTTCAGGAGTTACCGCGAATCATCCTCCTACTGGTCCCTCTTCATCGATGCCGATGTTTAAGTCACGAGCAAGATCACAGTCCCCAGGTCCGCGAGCCTTTTTCCAAGGATTGTTCAGTCGTGGCGGTCAAGAGAAAGATGAACCGCCGAGGGCCAATCCCGCAGCTACTTCCTACATGCCGATGACGGGGGCTACACAAGGTCCGGCAGTGACTCCATCTGCTACGCCTGAGAACAATCTGCTGGCAACCATGGCTCGCGGGATTGTGGCCTTGTTGAGTCAGCAGCAAGCAGCGAAGGGCGACCGCCCAGAGACGGTGAAGCCGGGGATCAGCGAGCTGCCCGCCTTGCCGGAGTACGAACCGGCCACGGGATCCATCGATCTCCTCCATTGGATCACCTCCATTGGATCACCCACATTGGCCCGATCATGGAGGACCTTTCAGACACTAGCTATGCCTGGTGGCATGCAACGATGAAGGCGGCACTGAGTTGGTATGCAGGCTACAGTACAGCCGCGCCTCTTGAGCGCCTTCAACTGAGGCCGCAACCGTCTTTGGAGCCCGCCAAGCCGGAATGGAGCCGTGTGGAACTGCGTGCGACCGCCATGCTTTTGACGGCGGTACCCAAGTCGGTTCGAGAGGAGATCATCGCCTACGGCCAGGTGTCGTCCTTGAACCTCCTTTGTAAGCTCTATGCTACGTACCAGCCGGGGAACCTGCAAGAGAAGGGTTTGGTTCTTCGCGTGCTAGAGCAACCGGAGCCTTGTGGGACAGCTTTGGAAGCTGTTGAGGGCTTGAGAAAGTGGAGCCTGTGGAGAAAAAGGGCGACTACGATTGGAACGGCGGAACCAGATGCTTCGGTTCTCGTTCGAGGGCTTGATCGTATAACGAGCCCAGTGGTGCAAGGCAGCGGAGAACTGTCCTTCCGGATCAGTTTGATCCGGAGCACGCTTCAGGTGGATGTGAGTCCAAGCGCTACTACGGTGACAACCTTCTTGCACCACCTTCAGGCGGAGATGGAGCAGCAAGCGAGGCTTGGAGCCTCCCAACCTTCGGCTTCGAGCACTCCCGGTTTGCGTGCTATATCGACTTCGGAGTCTACTCCGTCGGGGACCCCTTCGGCAACGACAGCTCAGCCCCAGGGTACCAGGCCGTCGAATGGTTTGTGCCGCTTCTTTCAGGGCGACAAAGGGTGCCGGCGGGGTAACACGTGTCGTTACCCTCATACATGGAGTTTGTTGGAGAAGGGGGCCAGAGCAAGGAAGTGTTTGGCATGCGGTTCTACGGCTCACAAAAAGTCAAGGACTGCAAGTCCCCGGGAGGAGGGCAATCGCCGACGAGGTCGACGCGCACTCCTGGGACTGGCAATGCGGATGGGAGCACATCATCGCCTACGGCGTCTTCCCAGGACGCCCCGCCGCGGAAGGTGAACTTCGAGGGCGATGGAGCTGTTCATGCTAAGGTGCTGCAGGTTCTTCAGGATGTCAAGGACCTCCCTTTGTTCAAGTCGGTGATGGAAAGGGTTCATCGTTGGACCTCTTCAGGTGGACTTCCATCGCCGCGGTCAAGATTGGCGCTGCTGGACTCCGGGGCCACCCATGTGTTGAGGGGCCTGCGTACTGGGTTTGAGTGGGATCAAGGCAAGGATGTACATGTGCAGCTGGCCGGTGACTCTTACACGTCTATGAAGCAGACCGAGACCGGGTCTCTGTTGACTGCGGACCAGCTTGCCCAGGTCATCGTGCCGCTGGGAAAAGTTATATCTACGTTGGGCTACTCGTTGATCTGGTCCAAGGATGCATGCCAGCTTGAGGGCGCCGATGGCGAGATCATTCCGTTGGAAGTCGTACGGGGTTGCCCCCAAGTGAGCGAGCACATTGCTCAGTTGAGGGCGACCAACTTCAAGACCTACATGAAGCTACGGAGGCCACGGTCAAAGTGCTGACGGCGGCGAAAACAAGTTGGTGGTCCTGTTTGATGGAGTATGCGGTGACTGGGAATGTGACCGCGGGCCAGACTGCGATTGACAAGTCTACGTTCATGAACTACAAGGAGGTGATGAAAGAATGCTTGGTGGTGGCCCCCTCGAGGAGGAGGCCGTGGGATCTGATGAAGCAGTTGGATCTCAATCGGCGCTGTCGGAAGCGCCTCTACAATTCCGCCTCCTGGGTTGTTCGCTGGGACGCTCCGTCTGTGGAACGGAGAAAGGACCCTATGAAGCACATGTGCCAGTCAGGGGACTCTATCTACGTGAATGTCAACACCTTGCTGATTGGCGCAGAGTTTGAAGATGTTTGGAAGGTGTTGATATGGGCCGCCACCAGCGGCAAGATCAGCACTGTTGTTGCGGCGGATTGTTCCAGTAAGCCAATGGACCAGATTGTCGCGGCCCCGCACCGGAGCAAGGTTCACTTCCTTCATGCAGCTGCTTCCGCAGGCAGGACTGTTCGAGGCCAAGGTGTTGTTCCTCTCTTTGTCGAGGACCTAGATAAGGCGTCCCGTCAAGATCAGGAGGATGATCCTCCAACATGGCCGGCGTGGACACGATGTGTGGACACCTTGGAGTACATGTCTGAAATGGGATTGTTTGATATCTCGATTTCCCAGTTCACAGGGGAGCGCTACGTGAAGTTGGCAAAGCTTGATGGTGACGCGGCATGGAGACTTCATGTTATGCGAGGGCATCAGCCGTTTCGGCGGGACTGCTCGGTGTGTGTGTGTGTGTGTGTGTGTGTGTGTGTGTGTGTGTGTGTGTGTGTGTGTGTGTGTGTGTGTGTGTGTGTGTGTGTGTGTGTGTGTGTGTGTGTGTTCGGAACAGTGCCTCGGGCAAACAGCACCGCACCACGATGCACCCCATGGCCTACAGCTTGAGTGTTGACGTGGTGGGACCGCTGAAGGGCTATGGAAAGTCTCCGGATGGGAAGTATTTCAAGTACTTTGTCATCGGTGCCTTCAGGATCCCGCAAGTTGAAGGTGCACATGGCCATCCTGAGGTGCGAGGGCACCCCATTCCCTCGGATGATGACTTCGAGGATGATGAGGACCAGCTTTCCGAGGAGGAGGAGGCTGATGAGGGTCCAGTTGAGTCTGTTGGACGAAGCACAAGTTGACCGAGAGAAGGAGCAGTGGAAACAGCTGCTTGCGACCTTTAAGGAACCGATCGCCACCAGCACCCTCTACTTTGCGGTTCCGGTGAACAACAAGAAGGCGGCCTCCATGCTCCCTGCGGTCCAGAAGATTGTCATGGATGTTAAGGCTTTGGGCTACCCCGTGACCAGATTGCATTCAGACCGAGGCGGTGAGTTTCGTGGACACTTGGTTCGTCGGTGGGCTTTATCCCAGGGTATGTGGCCTACCACCACATCGGGCTCAGAGTCGGCGTCCAATGGTGTAGCGGAAGCTGGGGTGCGTTATTTGAAAAGGCGCGCCCGCATCCTCCTCGATAGTGGCAAGGTCTCAAGGGAGAACTCGCCCACGGCGGTCCAGTATGCAGCGGCTCAACGAAGGAGCGATCAGCTTGGGGGTTTGTCGCCCCTTCCAGTGGCCTACGGGACCAAGGTCTACGTGAAGACCAAGAAGTACAAGACCGGAGCAGTCGAGGACTTTGGACACCATTGGGTACAAGGAAAGTATGTGGGTCCGTCAACGGACATCAGGGGTGGACATGTCATCTTGAAGCAAACTGGAACCTTCGTCCAGACCACCCACGTCAGGATCACCCAGGACCCTCCGTCACTGGATGAAGTTGCACCGATTGTGTTGGTTGAAGACTCGGTGTCCTCAGCAAGAGAAGCTCCGGAACCTCCTCTACCACCACTTCCTGGACCTCCACCAGCTACAAGACTTCGTGAAAAGACTCCTAGTGTTGCCTATGTGGGTGAGATTTACGAGTCCAATGTTGGGTTGTCAATCCATGCTTGGTGAGGCGAATGACGCCGAGGCGATCCTGAAGTATTTGAGGGTCGAAGAGATTCAGTATGTGGAGGCTGTGGCGGAGCAGCTGTTCAAAGAGGAAAGGTATGAGGCCGAGGACGTTGAGCGCATCATGGGCCTGTTTGCTGGGACTTGTGGAAATCTAAAGGTTCCTCGAGCACCAGGCGGCCAAGGCTTGATTTTGGGAGCCTTTGTTCATGGAGGCTCGTTTGGAGTCACTCGCTATGGGCGGGACCTTCCATGGGTGACAAGATACCTCAACCCTACCTGGACGACAATTGCAGTTCAATGTGCTGACCGCATTCCCCGCCACCGTGATGTTCACAATGAGAGGCACCTACAACTACGTTTGCGAGGTCAAGCGACCTTCTTCTGCTGGGTTGTGGGTCGAGGATAGGGGGAACGAGCGCCGGGTTGTTGGTGGATCGGAACCTCGTGATCATCAGATTGAGGGCCACGACGGCACCATGCATGACCCGGGTGTTTGCTTGAGATTACGGAGAGGCCAGCAGTGTTTGATCCGTTGGTCCCCCATGCCTATGTGAAGGACGATGACAAGAGGTGGTTCATCTCTGCCTACACCCCACAAGGTGCATCAAAGTTGAAGGCCAGCGACAAGGAGTACCTTGAACTTTTGAGTTTTCCTCTGTCAGAGGAGGAGGAGGAGGAGGAGGAGGAGGAGGAGGAGGAGGGGGAGGAGGACGAGGAGGAGCGCCAGCAGACCAATGGGGCACTGGAAACCAGACCGGTGCTAAAGATTACATCCTTGCCTCCGGGGACGTTGAGTGGAGCTCATGTTCAGTTGGATGATGTGGATGCAGTTACCATTGGGGATTGTGATGAGACCCTCTGGGATTGGGCCATGTACGTTGAGGATGAATTTTCAGTTGGCGAAGAAGATGAAGTTCGAGAATGCGCTCCTGGTCTTCGCAAGGTTTGTGGTTCTGATGACCCAGGATGTGAAATTCCTATGTTGATTAGGAGGTCAGATGTATTGGTTGAGGAGGAGGGAGTGCTGAACACCCAGGACGACTTTGTGGGCAGCTTACGTGGCAGCTTGGAGTACTGGAATCACTTGGGTGTTCTTCAGGATGTTCCTCAAGTTGCGAAGCTCGAGCCTGAGTACACGGATGGTGTGGAGAACATCATTGGCGAGGCGGTCCGCGCCCGAACCCCCCTTCGTCATACCTACAACGTGAGCCCCAAGGAGGCTCGAAGCACCATTGAAAAATGGCGCCCTGCGATCAGCAAGGAAGTTGGTGTCGTTGAGAAGGGGTTCAAGCGGATTCACGTGAAGGACATTGAAGCACTCAAATCCGAGTCATACCTACAACGTGAGCCCCAAGGAGGCTCGAAGCACCATTGAAAAATGGCGCCCTGCGATCAGCAAGGAAGTTGGTGTCGTTGAGAAGGGGTTCAAGCGGATTCACGTGAAGGACATTGAAGCACTCAAATCCGAGTTTGAGGTGCAAGAACTACCTTCAAAGCTGGTTTACACGGTGAAGCCACCTTCGTCATCTACTACCATTGATTCAGAGGATGAATCGTCCTTTTGCCGGCGCAAAGCCCGCATAGTGTGTTGCGGCAACTTCGCCGACGGCGATGCTGGCGACATCTTCGCCGGTGGTGCTGCAGCAGAAAGTTTTCGATGCGCCCTTACCTACACCACCAAAAGGCGGTGGATTCCGGGCATCGTCGACGTCACTGGTGCCTTCATGTTGACCCCGCTGCCAGGTGGAAGGGGAGCTGTGCGATATATCATACGCCCACCAGCTGCATTGGTGCAGCTTGGACTCGCTGAGGAGTCCGAAAGATGGCTGTTGACGCATGGCATGTACGGTCTACGTCAATCCCCTCGATTATGGCAAGAGTTCAGAGATTCCGAGCTCAAGCAGATGAAATTTGATCATGAAGGTCGCACTTGGGCCCTGAAGCAGGGTCAAGCCGAGCCGAACCTTTGGTTGGTCTATGAAGTGGGAGCCCCTGCTGACCAGGAGTCTGGAGGGCTACTTTTGGTCTACGTCGATGATATCATGTTGGCGGGCCCCCTATCACTGGTGAAAGATATGGCTTCAACAATTGGGAAGGTTTGGAAGGTTTCGGAGCTGGATGTGCTGTCGGCTGATCATGATATAAGGTTCTTGGGATGCGAGATTGCGACGAACGAGAACATGGACTGCATCTACGTGCACCAGCGGCCGTACATCAATGAGATCCTTCGTCACCATGAGGTACCTCCTCAAGCGGTCTCCTACATCCAGGCCCCTCGCGAGTTGGTGACCTTCGAGGCGTTTGAGGGTGAGGAGCGGGGCACGGATCAGGAGGTCAAGGTGGCGCAAAGATCAAGGCCGGATGTGGCCTATGTTGTGAGTGCCATGGGCTCTCTGCTGAGCCGAGCGGCCCCACGATGCATTGCGATAGGAGTGCGCCTCCTGTCGTACCTACAACAGAGTCGTGACCGGCACTGACTTTGAGGTCGGTGTCAGATGAGCTGGTGGCCTACTCCGACAGCTCCTTTGCTCCAAGTGGGGCCCGGAGTTTTTCCGGAGTGGTTTTGACGTGGATGGGATCCCCCATCACATGGCGGGCTGCCAAACAGCCGTTCGTGTGTCTGAGCACGGCGGAATGCGAGCTGGTGGCCGCCATTGAGGCTTTGACTATGGCTAAGTCATTGGAGTCTGTCATTAAGCAGGTGGACCCGAGCTCTCAGGGCATCGTACTGGGCATTGACAATCAGGCTACTATTGCCATAGCGAAGCCCACCACGACAGCTTCTTGGAGGACGAGGCATTTGCGGGTGAGGGCGGCCTACATTCACGAGCAGATAGAGTACAAGGAGGTTACAGTGAGGTATGTGCCGGGGAAGGACCAGTGGGCGGATCTTCTTACGAAGAGTTTTCCCAGGCAGCGACTACAAGAGCTTACCTCGCTGTGGGGATTCCTGAACTTGGTGCAGGAAGCGGCCCGGGTCTCTATGGTGAGAGCTATGGTTTTCTGCATGATGGTTCAAACTTCAAGGGCACAACCGCTGGATGAAGAGCCGCTTGCGCTGACGGCATCGTTTGAGCTGTATATCATGGTGATCCTTTTGGGTGTCGCTGTTGTGGCAGCGTGGGAACTGCTGTGGTGGTGTGTTGATCGCTGCTGCGGTGAGGTCAGACCTTCTCGCTCTGCCAGGCGCCTACGAAGTCTTCAAGAGACCATTCAGAGGGAGATTGAGATTCAGATCGCCTAAAGGCAGCCAGAACCCAGGCAAACGCCTGAGAGTCCATTGGACTCCCCACCTCCGACGAGGACTCGATCATCGAGGGCCACTCCGCAGAGCTCCCCCGCACCAAGAGCTACGTCCTCTATGACTACGTCACGCACGCCGGCCCCGGAAACCAGGGAGGTTGGAACTCAGTTAGACTCCAGCCCGCTCATATGCTACCAAGATCGTCCGGTTCCTACTCCGGTTCCAGATCCTATCAACTGGAACTACCCTCTCTATGTGAGTCCGAATGGTGACACATACCACACGTATGAGACTTGCTGGGGCCTGAGGAACACGAGGCCGAGGGCTGTGCGCTTTTGTCAATGTTGTCGAGACAACCAGGGCCGATCCCTAAAAGATCGATGAAGGTCCGCTACCAGTGGCAACTGTAAAGTCGAGGTGAGGTGCCCTCTTGCTCTAGGCAACGGGCAAGGAGGAGTGCTGAAAGCTTCTGCTGCCCAGGTCGCGAACGTTGTGATGCCTTCTGCAGCCTAATAAGGGCTTCAGATGCAGCAAGCGACAACATAAACCAGTGCAGAGCACGGCAGTTGCGCAAAGCACCGAAGTAAGAGCAGCTGAAGCATCAGGACATCGCATGCTGTCTAAAATCGCGAGCTTTCAATTCGTTTGTGCTGCCATGGATACAAGTCCTGCTCCTATGACCTCTCCTGTCGAACCTCCCTCCCTTCAGCACAAACTCCCTTCCCTAATTCGCGACTTCCGGAGGGCACACACCCATACTTCCTTACCAACAGAGTGGTGTGCCAGCAGCAGCCAGAAGAGCTGCGGGGCCGTTAATTCAGGCATTTTTTTCCCTCCTGGAAACAACCTTTAGGATTACGGCAAAGCCGCAACACTCCAAGTGGGTGACGAAGTGTGTTTCTACCAGCTCCACGTTCTTTAGGGGAACCCGGTAACCAATCGTCGCTTGCTTATCGTTGCTGTTTTCCCACGAGCAGACCGGGGGAGAACAGGGGCACACAGCCTTTTCTTGTAAAAGTCCGCCCCAAGCCCCGAGCAAAGCAAAGAGAGAGCGGGATGGGGCCGCTCCACGAAGCGGGAGGCAGGGACTGCGTGTCTTCTATGCCCCTGAGCAACGCAAAGCAAAGAGAGCTTTTCATGCTTTGGGATACTTTCAGGGTGGGGGTCGACAGCAGAGGGGGAAGCAGGCCCCGGCCCACAACCTGAGCCACGAATACCCCCACCCTGAAGACGAAGCCCAAGACCAGGGCGGAGCCCAGCAGGAAGAAGAAGAAGAAGGGAAAAGGCGGGTCCAGCCGGTCCAACAGCTCAGCGCCAGCCCTGGACTACGCAACGTCTTCGTAGCCTTCAAAAGGAGGGTCGGGGGAGAAGGCTCGTACTGTGCCACGAGTCCGGACACCCCGTCCTTCTTTGAAGTAAAACCACCTTCTGGCCTCTGAGCCATGGCAACCACAATGCAGCGGTCTTGAAGTTTCGTCGACCTCGGAGAGCGAGTGACTGCAGATCTCGAACTTGAGCATGTTTGGGAACCACGCCACGCTCCACGACGAGCTTGGGGGGATCGCGGCCGAGACTGCTTCAGTGTTTGCTGTAAGATCAAGTACAGCCCTAATGGGGGACGTTGCCATGACCTGTAACAACCTGTACTCTGCCAACAACGGCAGCCGATGCCTTCGAGTGTCGCTGATCCATCTAAGAATCTATGTCCTCCTCCTGATGGAGATACTTCTGTTCTGGATTCGATCCTGTTGGCGGTCTTCTATGTCTATAAGCGAATCTATTGGGCCCGTGCAGAGAATGGCATATTGGCGAAACGATTTTCGACGTGTCGCAACAAAAAGCAAGGGTTTCGATTGGCGGGACTCAGACAGGTGCGGGGCAGGCCAGCTTCAATTCCGGGATTTGGCGATCCGCTGGGCCTGGCGAGTTGGTTGGTCAGGGGCCGGCCCTGTCATGTTGCTTCCCGTCCCTGTGCTGCTTGGAGCCTGGTATATAGGTCGGGCATCGGCTGCTGCGGCAATCGTCTGCGTGTGGCAGCTAGCAGCTAGTGTGCGACCCCAATGGAGGAAGCGCCACGGTGGTCGGTGGACGACGTCTAGCGGATCGAAATTTGGAAGGCTCAGCAAATTGGGAATTAGTCTCGCTCGTAAGAGCCATGGTATCTAGCGCAGGGTGAGATAAACCATTTGCCACAACACTCTGGTTGTCCAGGGCGGCGGCATGTTCGCGAATGGCTTCATATCAATGAAGTTCAATCTTTAAGCCCTGGCTAAGGCCCAGCGTGAGATGTCTGTGATCAACGTCCCAGTCCTTAATCATTAATCTTTGCAGGCAAAATCAGGCTAAGAGTTTCAAGGTGCACGAACCATGCTTGCGGGCTTCGGCCTCAGGGCTTCGACCTTAGGGTTTCGGCTTCAGGCTTTGGACTCCTTCGGTTTTCGGCCTGAGGATTTCGGCTTCGGCCTTAGGGTTTCGGACTGAGGGTTTCAAGTTTTCGGCTTTAGGGTTCGACTCCTGCGGGTTTCGATCTGAGCATTTCGGCCTTAGGGCTTCGGCTTCAGGGTTTCGGTTTCAAGGTTTTCGGCTTTAGGGTCTCGGCCTTTGCATTTCGGCCTCAGGGTTTCGGCAGGGTTTTGGCTTTGGCTTCCTTCTTTAGGGTTTCGGCCTTAGGGTTTAGGCCTTTTGGTTTTGGCTTTCGGGTTTCGGCCTTAGGGTGCTCGGCTACAGGTTTCCGGGTGCATCTAGCGGAACTCTGCTTTGGGGTTTGGTTGTTTCGGCCTTTAGGCTTCCGGGGCTTCAGGGTGTGGGTCTTAGGGTTTCGGCCTTCGGCATTAGGGTTTCGACCTCAGGGTTGCAGCCTTAGGATTTCGGCTTTTGGATTTCGGAATTGGGATTTCGGCTTTAGGCTTTAGGCTTTCTGGTTTCGGCCTTAGGTTATGGTGCTCGGCGACAGGTGTTCGGGTGATACCTGACCACACGAAAGTCGAATGTGGCCTGTTATGTGAGTTCATTTCGCTCGGAGTCGGCGAGAGGGCTCCATGGTCTGCGACATTAGGCAGCTCTGGATATCTGTTGATGCAGCATCGCCAAAGGGCACAAAGTCAGATACAGTTGTGCCGGAATTACGCGGCCAGGGTTCCCGAATTTGTGCTTCACAGTTCCGGAATTGGACCAGGCCGTCCGCGACAGTGTGTTCCTGAACCCCGTCTGTTCCCCACGGTTCATGATTTTAGTTGGCTGTCATCCCCGAAACTTAGTTTACCCATCGAAGAGCCAAGCCCTTCGATGAACAGTGTTTTGCAAATTGAACAAGCAAGTGCCTGCCTCCGATCGCTACTGCATGCAGGCTTGACCCTGATGTTGTAACTCGCAGCTTTTGTAGCTTGTGTGGAAAGGAACAATTCGGCGGGATTAGCAAAGTAATTGAGAATGAAATTTTCCAACCGGTTCATTCATTCGGCGAATAACGACAGCGCCAATCTTCAAAGACGAGCCGGAGCGCTGGAAGCCAGTGCCCAAAAATCGCCAACTGTAGAATGTCCCGCCTTTTCGTCTGTGTGGGGCCACCCAAGTCCACGGGGCAACCTCGTGAGCATAGTTGGTTGCCCAACGGAAAGTGCTATGCCGATGCCGCTGCTGATATTGACCTGCCTTTGAGTGCTTTTCTGCAAATGGAAGACCACGTTCATGTTGGATTTAGCTGGCATTGTTGGCACAAATGGGAATTTATTTTTGAGTTGGCACCGCACGCTGTTCAGCCGTGATTTTTGCAAAGTGTGCGGGTGTGTGTGTGTGTGTGTGTGTGTGTGTGTGTGTGCGTGTGTGTGTGTGTGTGTCTCTGTGTGTGTGTCTCTGTGTGTGTGCACAGGTGTGTGGGTGTGTGTGCGCGCGCGCGTGTGTGTGTGTGTGTGTGTGTTTGTTTGTTTGTTTGTTTGTTTGTTTGTTTTTTTGTGAGCACCTGTACAAGTTGACAGCGAGTATGGCTTTGATGTTCATGCATTGATTTCCAAGATTTGCCATACTTTGCCATATTGCACTCTTCAATTCTATTTCTTAACCGCAACAGTTGTGACGTGGCAGGGCTTGTTGTTCCTAGCCGTAGCCATGAAAACGAAACCACATGAATGGACTAGAAAGGAAGCTGGCCGCAGTTTCCTGTACATGTAAAGCGGTGGGTTTTTTGTTTTTCAACATTTGATTTCGTTCGCACAATCTGACTCTTGTTTTGTTTGT